TGTATTTCCCCATGACTGGCAGCTCCATCTAGTGGGCATAATGTGGTATTTACCTGATCGCAGTACTTCAAGAAAACACCTCATTACGGCCACTAGATGGAGCTGGCGATCATAGGAAATACACAGATTAGACGCATTACGGGGATTATTTGTGACGGTGGTGCACGTTTTTCTTTAGAAATGGATCCAAAAAATTAAAAATAATTGGGGGGGGGGGGGGGGAAGAAGAGGGGATGTGTTTGAATAATCCTAGACAGATAATTAAAGTGGTGGTAAAGGATGAAGATTTTTTACCTTCATGCATCTTAATGCTTGAAGGTAAAAAACCTTCTGTGTGCAGCAACCCTCCCTAATACTTACCTGAACCTCATCCTGATCCAGCGATGCGAATGACAGCCTCGACTGTCCGGGGTCTCTGTCTCCTCATTGGCTGAGACAGCAAGCGAGAGCCATTGGCTCCTGCTGCTGTCAATCACAGCCAGTCAGCCAATGAGGAGAGGGAGGGAGGGGGGGCACGCCAGGGCTCCCCATGTGAATGGACGTACGGAGCAGCGGGTGCCCCCATAGAAAGCTGCTTGCTGTGGGGGCACCTGACAGACAGGAGGAGCCAGGAGAGCCTGCAGGGGACCGGAGAAGAGGAAGATCCAGGCTGCTCTGTACAAAACAACTGCACACAGCTGTTTGTTATTTTACAAAAAAAAAAGAACCTTTTAGAATCACTTTAAAGCTGAAGTTTAATCTCCTTATATTCTTCCACACCTGGCCCCCTCACCCCATCAACATGTGAATACAATTTTTAAGAAAAAATTCAGTTTTAATTACATACTTTATTTAACCACTCGCCCTCCAGAATATTTACTTTAACTGATAATTGCGCTGTCATGCAACACTACACCCAAATTAAATTTGTCCTTTTTTTACCCCCACAAATAGAGCTTTTTTTTTAGTGGTATTTGATCGCCTCTGTGTTTTTTAATTTTTGCGCTATAAAAAAAAAAAGACCAACAATTTTGAAAAATAAACAATACTTTTGACTTTTTGCTATTAAACGTGTCCAGTAAAAAACATTTGTCATAAATTTAGGCCAAAATATATTCTGCTCCATGTCTTTGCTAAAAAAAAAAAAAAAAAATCCAATATGTGTAAATTAATGGTTTACATGAAAGTTATAGCGTTTACAAATGGCGGTATAGATACTGGAATTTTTTTTTCTTATACTAGCAATGGCAGAGATCAGTGACTCAGAGCGGGACTGCGGCAGGCATTCTGACACGGGGGGGGGGGGGGGGGGGGACTGTCTGGTGATCGAAAGGTGTGGCCGCCAATGGCAGCACGTGCCCTACCTGGAAATGCAAATTCACATTATATATATATATATATATATATATATATATATATATATATATATATATAATGTGTGTGTGATTTTGCACACCCCTGCCACCCTGTAGCAGTATTTCTGCTATAGGGCGGCAGGAAAGCGGTTAAGATCAGTGAAGTGATCACTACGTCTCTGTGCTTCTCTATGCAGATCATGGCTTGGTGGGAGAGGCTGACAAGGTGCCATACATGGCTTCCTGAAAACATCACAACACCCAGCCTTAGTACTCCTCTCAAGAACCCTCAGCCCTGATGCCAGCAATGGGCTGGTGTTTGTCAATGGGCTGACTGTAATGTTAACACCTGCAGCTGTGATCTTCTGGTGCTGCAGGAGTTAATAGGAGCCAATGGGCCTATTATATGCATTCATCAATATTGCTGACTATGCCCTCCTTTTTGCACCCCTCTTCCATTCATAGAAGCTGTACTATAGCTTTTGATGCATGCCTGTGACAGGTCCTGCATTAACCCCCGCAGCACTGGAAGATTACAGCTGCGGGGGTAGTGGATCAGAGGACTTTAGATTTTAACTAAAACCACCGCCATCAGTGCAAGGGACATGTTGCATTGAAGTACCATCCCTTGCGCTGATTTTTAAAAAAATTGACTTAGCCTTTAATTATTTGACCCTCTGTTTATACCTAAAAAAAATGGTGTTCTCGACCACCTTGGATCAAATTGATAAACAAAAAAGTCAACCTGACTCTGTCCCAGTAAGCATGTGTGATGAATGTGAGCACGCTGACAGGTGGGGAGGGCAGATAGGTGAGGTCATCAGTCTGCTGCTGCTATGGCACTGTCCTATCAGCAGGCTGAGGCTGTGATTTGACCAAGCTTGGCTGCCATTTTGTATTATCCTGTCTATAAGATTTGAACGGACTGTTGTCCATGATGACAGTTCTGTAGAAGTTTTAATTTCAGGCTGCCGCCTAAATCTGGTTTTCTGATCTTTGGTGTCTAGATCACAGTCATACTGCAGACATCTCTATATCTTAAAAGCTGAATTCTGTGCTGGTGTTTCATTTTAACCCAAACTTCCTGTACCTATACATATTACAAATGTGAATTTTTTTTTAACCCCTTTGTGACCATGGATTTTTTTAGTTTTTTTATATTTTATACTTCAATGCCCAGACCTAGTTTCGCATTTGTTTGTCATACCTTAAATTTTTTTACTAAGAGTGGGTCTGAGAACTAGGAGCTCACACAGTTGCATATTGTTAGTTCTCTGCTGCAAGTGTGATTGGGGTTCTCATGGCAAGGGACACTTTAAATTTGGACTTTTAAAGTTGTATTGCACTCACAAAGTGGTTAAACCGATTTAGTTTTTTAATAAATTACCTTGTGAAAGTCTGTGAGGTCATTGCTTAGAATGAGAAATCAAAACTATGCCTAGGCATCAGGAAAAGATATTGGAAAAGTACTGTTATTCCATCCTATGACTGTGCAGGGCCACTAGCAAAAACTACAATTCCCATCATGCAATCAGAATTGTAGCTGACAATGGGCATGATGGCCCAGGAGCCCCCTGACCAGTCAATCATAGAATCGTGTCACGGTGGGCAGAAAAGACCAGAAGTCCCCTGATCAGTCAATCAATGTCATGGTCCAGGAATGGCCAGTCAGTCATGGTGTTGTCACAGAAAACTGTCCCTGACCAGTCAATCTGGTGTGTCATGGTTGACAAAACTGTCCAGGAATCCTCTGGTGGGTCAGTCATGGTGTTGCCATGGTGGGCAGAAAAGGCCAGGCGTCCCCTGACCAGTCAATCATGGTGTGTCATGGTTGACAAAACTGTCCAGGAATCCTCTGGTTGGTCAGTCATGGTGTTGCCATGGTGGGCAGAAAAGGCCAGGCGTCCCCTGACCAGTCAATCATGGTGTGTCATAACTGTCTAGGAATCCTCTGGCCGGTCAGTCATGGTGTTGCCATGGTGGGCAGAAAAGGCCAGGAGTCCCCTGACCAGTCAATCATGGTGTGTCATGGTTGACAAAACTGACCAGGAATCTTCTGGCCTGGTCAGTCATGGTGTTGTCATGGTGGGCAGAATAGACCAGGAGTCACCTGACCAGTCAATCATGGTGTTGTCATGGTGGGCAGAAAAGACCAGAAGTCTCCTGACCCAGTTATTCATGGTGTTGTGTCCAGGGGCGGACTGACAACTCATGGGGCCCCCGGGCAATACGGGATCATGGGGCCCCTGTGTCCTTGCCCAAACTCAAAAAAGCCTATAAAAAAGGTACTAGGGGCATCTCATGGGGCCCCCTACTGACCCCGGGCCCTCGGGCAGTGCCCGAGTTTCCAAATGGTCAGTCCGCCCCTGGTTGTGTCATTCTTGGTAGAACAGACCCAAGCATTTGCTGGCCAGTGAATCATGGAGTTGTCACAGTTGGCAGAACAGACCAGGAGTCCACTGGCCAGTCAATCATGCTGTTGTGTCATGGTGAACCGAACAGACCTGGAGTCCCACTGGCTAGTCAATCATAGTGTTGTGTCATGATGAACGGAACAGACCAGTCCTTTGGTCAGTCAATAATGATGTTGTGTCATGGTGAACAGAATAGACCAGGAGTCCACTGGCTAGTCAATCATAGTGTTGTGTCATGATGATGGGAACAGACCAGTCCTTTGGTCAGCCAATCATGATGTTGTGTCATGGTGAACAGAATAGACCAGGAGTCCACTGGCTAGTCAATCATGGTGTTGTGTCATGATGAACAGAACAGACCAGTCCCTTGGCCAGTCAATCATGATGTTGTTTCATGGTTGGTGGAACAGACCAGGAGTCCCCTGGCCTGTCAATCAAACTCAGCCATGTTAGTGGGTAGAACAAACAGGGAGGCAGACTGACGACAGCCAACAGTGGTGTAATTATGTCATCGCTGGTTAAATAAGAACTACAAATGGGATATTGCACAACATGGTGGCTCAGGGAAGGAGCTGGCACAGCAGTCATCGGTCTTACAAAACGAAAATATAGGACACTGAGTCCTTTATTATGCAGCATTCCAGGACTGGGATAACAAAAACATATTTGTTAAAGGTAAGACATGACCTTTCCAATAATGCTTGAAGCTGAACTCTGGGAATAAGACAAAATCTGTCCTTGCAGTTGCCCCCCCCCCCCCCCCCCCCCCATACTGCAAGTATTAAATGCTTGCTTAGTATAGGGCGTTCCTGGCTCAAGTGGGCATCCTGAATCCATGTGAATGGTCCTCCTCAGCATCCTTTTTAAATGTCTTTGGGTCGCAGTCATATGCTCATCTCCTTGGGTATAATGCAGGGTTAATGGACCAGAATTGTGCATAATGACACCAAGGGACCTCACACAGCCCAAAGCTTGAGGACATCACTGGAGCCTGTCGGACCGAGGGATAGGGTAAATAATACATCTTATCTCTGCACCCCTAGATGAAACCCTTGCAGTATGGGGGGGGGGGGGGGCGCAAGGGTATATTTTGTCTTATTCCTTTAGTTCAGCTATAATGTGTCCAAAGGAACAGCCTCAGAAGCGATGGTAGCCCTTGAGAAGCTGCATTGACCAACAGGACTGGGGACAACTTTTTTATGTATCTTTTAATATGTTTATTCATTTTTTTTTTTCTCTTTTGCTCTTCCAGCTTTCTGTTGCAACTGAAATCGTGTAGAGATTCCGACCTTGATGAAAGAATTAAGGAATTTGCAGCCAAGCTATCACTAATACCAAATCCGCCTCCGGGACCCCTCCACCTGGTAATGGTTTTAGAGGCCAGAATGTTAAAGAAAATGTTTTTTCTGTGCTTTACTGGAGCAATCTCATCAGTATGTAATGGTAACGATTCCAAATATACATTAGGGCAACTTTAAAATGAGTTTGCAATAAAATCTGTCTGTGTTGCTTATGAAAACACATCAGAATCTAAGGACTTGTTCACATGAGTGGCCAAGGGAGCTGTAAAAGCATGCAGGTGAGCTACCTCTTTCATTCATTGGATTTCAGTTTTTACCATCGTAGAGGTTCAGCATGACATTCAACTTAACACAGCTTCCTGTTTTCAGGAAGCTATGTACAGCACTGTGCTGGCCCCTCCCACGAGTCATGATCTGACTGCATTTCATAGAGAAGCACACAAACCTGCATGTCAGAAATGATCTATATATATATGGACAACTGAAGATAATATGTAAGCCTTTACCTTTCCACAAAAGTGTCCCCCTTTTGGCGCCTACCCTGCTGCCCGTTGGGTCTCTATTGGTCAAAGTGGCTGAGTATTATATGAAAGGTATAGTACAGCCATTCTCAACTAGGGTTCCTCAAAAGGTTGCTAGAAGTTCCTTGAGTTGTTTCTGATTGACCTCCCATCTGATGGTGCCTGGATAGCTTCCAGGTCCAATACCACTTGGCCGAGCCTGTAGCATGACACGAATGATCTTCTTAGTGGCCTAGAAAGGTGGCATTCTGACCACTACTGTAAGGTGGGCATTCTTCCCTGGCCACTAAGGTCAAGGCATTTTTTTCACTAACCCCCAGTGACCTAATTATAGCATGGCTTCCTTGAGACCTAATAATTATTTCAAAGGTCTCTCTGGGATAAAAAGGCTGTTGTAGTGATAAGCCGTCCGCTACCTGTATTTCTGGATTTTCCTGGTATGTGGTTATCACATTGTACATACAATCTTTCACCATGTGCTCATTTTCTCTTGCCCAGGACTGTGACAGATTTATTTTTAGGTTTGTATAGAGGTAGAAAAAACAAGAAAATGGACAAAGCGTCTTGTCCTCGAGAAATATGGAGCTGTTTTTTTTTATCTATAAATACACATAAAAAGTACTCACAAGGGTAAAGGAATGGATCCTGTGTTAAATACATGGGTAGCACAGTGGCTAAATGGTTAGCACGTCCACCTAGCAGTACTAGTGTCGTTGGTTTGAATCCCAGCCATGGCACCACCTGCCTGGAGTTTGCATGTTCCCCCTGTGCCTGCGTGGGTTTCCTCCGGGTACACCGGTTACCTTCCACACTCCAAAGACATGCTGCTAGGTGAATTGGCTCCTGTCTAAATTTCCCTGGTATGTGTATGTATGAATGCAAGTAAGTTAAGGACCTTAGATTGTACACCCCTTAAGGGTTAGGGACTGATTTTATATATATATATATATATATATACACACATACACACACACACAGTTGCAAGAAAAAGTATGTGAACCCCTTGGGATTACGTGGAGTTTTGCATGAATTGGGCATAAAATGTGCTCTGAACGTCATCTAAGTCACAACAATAGAAGAACACAGTCTGCTGAACATAATACTACACAAACATTAGATGTTGCCATGGTTTAATTGCACATAACATGTAAACATTCACAGTGCAGGGAGGAAAAAGTATGTGAACCTTTGGACTTAATAACTGGTTGACCCTCCTTTGGCAGCAATAACCTCAACCAAACGTTTCCTGTAGTTGCAGATCAGACCTGCACAACGATCTGGAGTCATTTTGGACCACTCCTCTTCACAAAACTGTTTCAGTGTAGCAATATTCTTGGGATCTCTGGTGTGAATCACTCTCTTAAGGTCATGCCACAGCATTTCAATCGGGTTGAGGTCAGGACTCTGACTGGGCCACTCCAGAAGGCGTATTCTGTGCTGTTGCAGCCATTGTTTTGTTGAATTACTTGTATGCTTTGGGTTATTGTCCTGTTGCATCACCCATCCTCTGCAGAGCTTCAGTTGGTAGACAGATGGTCTTTTGCAAAATGTCTTGATAAACTCTGGAATTCATTTTCCCATCAATGACAACAATCCGTCCAGGCCCTGAGGCAGCAAAGCAGCCCCAAACCATGATGTTCCCTCCGCCATGTTTTACAGTGGGGATGAGGTTTTGATGTTGGTGTGCTGGGCCTTTTTTTCTCCACACATAGTGTTGTGTGTTCTTCCCAAACAACTCAATCTTGGTTTCATCTGTCCACAGTATATTTTGCCAGTAGTGCTGTGGGACATCCAGGTGCTCTTTTGCAAACTTCAAACGTGCTGCAATATTCTTTTTGGACAGCAATGGCTTCCTCCGTGGTGTCCTCCCATGTACTCCATTATTGTTTAATGTTTTCCTTATTGTAGATGTGTCAACAAAAATGTTAGCATGTGCCAGAGATTTCTGTAGGTCTTTAGCTGACACTCTGGGATTCTTCTTTACCTCATGCAGCATTCTGCGCTGTGCTCTTGCAGTCATTTTTACAGGACGACCACGCCTAGGGAGAGTAGCAACAGTGCTAAACTTTCTCCATTTGTAGACAGTCTGTGGACACATGAACATCAAGGCTTTTGGGGATACTTTTGTAACCCTTTCCAGCTTCATGCAAGTCAACAATTCTTGATCGTAGGTCTTCTGAGAGCTCTTTTCTGCGAGGCATGGTTCACATCAGACAGTGCTTCTTGAAACCAGTAAACCCAAAACAGGTGTGTGTTTTTTAAGGGCAGGACAGCTGTCAGCAACACATCCAATATCATCGCACTGATTGGAGTCAAGGTTGGCTCACTCCTGGCTCCAATTAGCTCTGGGAGAAGTCATTAAGCTAGGGCCTCACTAACTTTTTCCTCCCTGCACTGTGAATGTTTACATGTTATGTGCAATTAAACCATGGCAACATCTAATGTTTGTGTAGTATTATGTTCAGCAGACTGTGTTCTTCTATTGTTGTGACTTAGATGACGTTCAGAGCACATTTTATGCCCAATTCATGCAAAACTCCACGTAATCCCCAGGGGTTCACATACTTTTTCTTGCAACTGTGTGTGTGTATGTATGTGTGTATATATATATATATATATATATATGTATGTATATGTAAAGCGCTGCATAAATTGACAGCACTATATAAGTACCTGTAATAAAGATCATGATCAGCTCCAAACAAGAAAAGTGTCACATATTTCAAACAGAGGACCGTAGCCAGCAGTACACAGTTTGACCATTCCAGTATATCTGCATAAAACAAGCAGTCAGGGGGGCTTTGGTGTATGCATATATGATGGAATAGCCTTAACCCCTTGCCGCACACCCCTGGCGGCCCCTTTAAATGGGTGTTAATGCTGGGAGGGGGGGGCCTCTTTCTGATTAGAATCACTTTAGTTGGTTTTCATGGTGGTCACAAGAGCCCGTCCTGCTGGCTCCCAATTGTCAATGATAGCTCAGTTGGTGTGCTGGAACTGTGCAGTGAGCGGGGTCACAGCACAGAACCTGAGGGCCACATGGAGACAGGTGCAGTGTCTGGCTATTAAGGCACACCCACCCTGCAAATGCATATACGCCTTTATACCAAAGGAAAGAGGTTAAAGATTAATCTCACTGTTTGCAAAAATGAATAAATGCAACCACATGGATTACAAAAAAATGTGTATTTATTTTTTTTTGCAATGAAGCCTGCGAAGCTTTGCAAAAACGATCAGTGGATTGCAAATGCAATGTACAGGCGCCTGCAGACTATTCCTCCAGACACTGGTCCATTTCAAGGTACAGGGTTGTGGGAAGTAGCCATGGACTATGGTGACATCACTGCACTTGGAAATATGAGTCCTTGTGCCAGGGTAGCAGCATGAGGCTTGTAGTCTCTCCATTCACAGGTCTCTGTAAATAGATGATGGGGCTGTGTGGGCAGAGCCATGCAGATCTGCGCCGAATTAAAAAAAAGTCAGGATTCTGCAGCGTGGAGAACCCCTGGATTCAGTAAAGGGGGTGCCATTTGGGTGGCTGAAGACTGACCAGGTTTCAGGTTACCTCCTACAGATGGGTGTAACCTGAAACAAGGTCAGAATTATGGATCTGGCCTTTACGCCTTCATGTGCAGACTGCCTGATAGGCGCTGATAAGGGGGGGGGGGGGGTGGCTCCGGAGATGTTAGCCATACTATGTACTTCTAGTTGTGATCCTCCGTTGGATAAAAGATTTTTATTCTGGTTTGATTGTACTTGTTTTAGCCTGATTGTGGAAATAACAAGGTATGCATTCCTTTACTCTTGTGAGTACATAATATAGTATTTTTAAAGTACCGTATTTATTATTATTATTATTATTATTATTATTTTAGCATTTTGTTTTAGTATTTAATTCTAGTAGTTATATTTTAGTATTTTTTTCAGTATTCTATAGTAAACAAATGCATATTTCTTGAGGACAAGGAGCTTTGTCCACTCTTCTGTTCTTTATATGTAGCAGATCATCCTGTCTATGGAGTGAGCTGCCTGTCCTCTGAGAAATTTGGGAACCAAATGGTGGCCTAGTCTGGTCACATTTACAAAGACTCCCAAAGGTTGTTGCTAGTGCCATGGAAATCGGTTGAGTTTATAAAGAGGTGACAGGTTCTGTTTAAGTCTTATCTCAGGGTAATCTAGACCCCCCCCCCCCCCCCCCGAGAGATCTAAGATGCCTGTTGGTAATTCAGTGTATCTGCCTCCACCTATTACCAAATTTCCATCCTTTTACTTGGATATTTTGAGATATGAAAGACACTTTCTGACACATCTTTCTTCGTAGGTGTTCAACATGAAGCCGCTACAGATATTCTTCCCATCCAGAGAGGACCCTGAAAAGTCCCATAATCGATTTGGACCTTCACCTCCCATTCCTCTGCTTCACCCCTAAACAGGTCTTACAGGTAACTCTAGCCAGGTGTGACATGACCGCTGAATATACATGCTGTCCACTTATAGAAGTAGCCAACCAAATATCCCCTTTCCATTTGCACTGTACTAGAAAAGTAAAGTCTGCCCTGCAGTTGGTTGTACTGCACTTTTTGCCTCAATAGTTTCAAGTTCTACACTAGTTAATCTGTTTGTTTTTTTTTTTTTCTGGAAACTCCACCACCCTCTTGTGAATAAGTTAGTAAAACACAACTTACCTTACTGGAGCCCTGCTACATCATTCAGCGGCAGTCCTCTACTGGGTTGCATGATGCCTGGCATAATTCAACCCACTTCCTGTGAGCCCAGGGCATCAAGGACACACCCACTAGGGGAGAGCATCATAATGTAGCCCACACCAGGGGAATCTGCAGACACCCACACTCACATTTTGTAACGTGAGTGCTTGATTGCTGGAGTGAGGACCGGAATTCAGGGTATATACCGGTAGGGTATGTATTGTATTCTGAAATATATTGTGGAAATCGGTCCAGGGAGGGGGTGAGCAGAATGAGGGAGATGGGGGATTCCAGCTGAAACGTGTTTAAAGCTAAACTCTAAGGAAAAGAAAAATCCTTCCTGGCGGTGAAAGGGTGAAATGCTTGTTTATACCTAGGGTACCACTATAAAGGACTTTTACTTACCTTGTCCCTTGCTCCAGAAGGCTCTCGCCATGCTATGTAACTGGCCCCAGCAGCTTATTCTTAAGGCGCTCTGGCCATTGCAGGCACTCTGTGATCAAGTACAGTGCAGGGCCAATAGCCCTGCATTGTACATGAGGTTGTCGAGTACCCGTTCACAAGCTGGAATGCCAGGGAGAAAAGAGAGATCTGGCTGTTGAGCGGTTTCTAGTACGCTGGGTATAAAAGGGCATTTGACCCTTGCAGGGTCGAGAGGAATGTTTTCTTTTCCCCAGAGTTAAACCCAGTAATCTGTCAAATCCATTCAATAGTCTTCTGCCATATATAGTTCTGCCAATCTCCTGCAACTTACAGTGGACTTGTACTCCATTGTAAAGTGACCTTATTGCCACAGGTTCACTTGCGAAACAAAGAGCAGCACAGCCCAGTAAACCTAGATTCACTATACGTACCTTCCCTGTGGCCTACATCCTAAAATGCTTCCACTTTAGAGCTCTCCAGCTACTGCAAGGAAGACCTGCTCCTCCTGCTACACACAGTGGTTTTTCCCACGGCTCATACGTCATTACAGGATATATGAACTGGCAGGAGGTTCTATTGTGTGTAGTGGGGGTAGCTGGTATTTGACCCATCTAAATAATGGAATACCCACAGAGACTGGAGAGTAGTGGACATGGTTTGCTGGAAAGGTACATATAGTAAATAATCTTTTACTGGTCTGATGTTTTATTGTGAGTGGATAACCGTGTGTACTCTCCAGCGCTCCAGGAAATGCCAAAGGGAGGCCAAGGGGACCAGGACAGAAGTGGCCTAATGATAATGCTTCAGGGGTGCAGCCCTCCTCAAACGGGGGAAATCAACCGCTGGAAAAAGAGCAGACAGGTGGCTGAAACACCTAGTGCAGGGGTCTGCAGCCTTTAAGACATAAAGAGCCACTTGGACCCGTTTCCGAGAGGGAAAAAAAGACTGGGAGCCGCAAAACCATTGCAACATTTAAAACAAATCCGACACTGCATATATTGCGAAAAGTGCTCTGGTCATGAAGGGGGTTTAAGGGCCCAGTAAGCAAAGGGTTAACCAGGGCCACAGTGTATCGTCATAATCACAATCATAGCCTTAGGTCAGTGGTGGGCAACCTTTTTTTTCAACTGAGCCAAATCTCACCAAAACCACGATTGAAATTTATTTTGAGAGAAACATTTTTAAAACTGAAAATACATCCCCCATATAGTAATTCATCCCCCATAGTAATTCATCCCCCATATAGTAATTCATCCCCCCCCATAGTAATTCATCCCCCATATAGCAATTCATCCCCCCTATAGTAATTCATCCCCCATATAGTAATTCATCCCCCATATAGTAATTCATCCCCCCTATAGTAATCCCCCCATTCATCCCCCATATAGTAATTCATCCCCCCTATAGTAATTCATCCCCCCTATAGTAATTCATCCCCCATCCCCCATATAGTAATTCATCCCCCATAGTAATTCATCCCCCATATAGTAATTCATCCCCCATAGTAATTCATCCCCCATATAGTAATTCATCCCCATATAGTAATATAGTAATTCATCCCCCATATAGTAATTCATCCCCCATATAGTAATTCATCCCCCATTCATCCCCCCTATAGTAATTCATCCCCCCTATAGTAATTCATCCCCCCTATAGTAATTCATCCCCCATATAGTAATTTCATCATCCCCCGTAATTCATCCCCCATAGTAATTCTATAGTAATTCATCCCCCCTGTGTCAATTCACTTACCTTTGCTCCGCGCGTTCCTCTAGCTGTGTTCCCGCGCCGTTCTGGTCTTCAGGGCGGACTGTGAGAGGAGAGGAGTTCGTCACGCTGCCCCGCCTACATCCTGACAGCCAATGTTTGGAGGAGGGAGGGGAGCGGGCGCCCGGCACATAGAAGAGCTGCATTAAAAGAGCCGCGGCTTGCCGACCCTATTGCCTGTCACCTGGTGGGCAGTGTGCTCCGGAGCCGCAGGAAAGGTGAAAAAGAGCCGCACGCGGCTCCGGAGCCGCGGGTTGCCGACACCCGACCTAGTGCATTATCCAAGATTTATTCAAAGGTGTAAAAGACAAAAACATACTCACCGACATAGCGTGCATAAACAGCTTTTTCATAATGGAGATGGCCACAACAACGGACAAGGTGTTCCAACTGTCAGTGTAGTCAGGAGGCTGAAGCGTTTCGGGGACGAGTCCCTTTCCTGTAGCTCTGAGGAACGGGAATCGTCCCCAAAATGCGTCAGTCTTCTGACTACGCAATTGGAGCGGTCATATTGGTGTGGTTCCAACTTGGTCGAAGCCACACCAATTTCAAAAGTAGTCCATGCACTACTTTTGGTGCTATTTGCATAGGTATCTATATCAGATGTCTTGCAAATTGCACCTGAAATCAGCATGTCCTCCGACTTTGAAATCGTGCAACTTCACTGTAAGTCGCACATTTTCGAAGTTGGCTTGATGTGACGTGTGGGGTGTAAACAGAAGACTCTAAAATATGCTTTATGTTCTGCTGCTAAGCAGAAAATCCTCTTCTGTGCACCTCTCTGATTTAGTTTAATCCCTGGGCCTCATTTGAGGGCTAGTCTCCATCTTTACCCTTTCTGGTGAGAGTGCCTTTGGCTTATTGAGGCAGTCTCCTTGATGAAAAGTTGGGTCATAGTCAAGAAGTCAGGGAACACTGGGCCACAGTAAGAGAGGGAAATTAAATCAGTGAAGGATAGGTGAGACAAAAAATGTGTCAGGGAGAGTTTTATTGTCAGAGCTGTTTTTGCAAACAAGTTAAAAAAATTATTCTAGGCCTATAGTTAAACCCCCAAAACATTATACATTTTCTGGTGAATAAAATAGAGGAAGTTCAACTATAGTTTATCCAGTCCAATGTTTCAGTAAAAAATACACTAAAGTTCATTAGGGCACTCAAAAAATGACCCAGTTTTTATAAAATATATAAGGTGAGGTTACTCTGAGCAAATAGATACTCAACATGTCAAACCTTAAAATTGTGTACACCCATAAATTACCACAAATTTTCTATAGCTGGCACTTTAAAAGCCCCTACAGGTCATTAGTTTAGAGGTGACTGTGAATAAAGGGCCTAGAATTATTTCTCCCACTCCAATGTGTGTGGAGATATGCAATGCGTAGTGCAATCGACATATATGTATGTAGGTGACACTAATATGTGCATTTACATGCGTGTGTTCATGGGGGGCAGACTCCAAAGTCTTTTTTTTGGGGGGGGGGGGGTTAAGTTCTTGTGCATACCTTTTTTAATTTTTTACACTTTTTCTCTTCAGTGAGACAGCAGGGGTTTGTTAGACCCCCGATGTCTCACCTGTTCTCCACTGAAGCTAATAGGGTGCAAGTCATTTTCCATTAGCTTCTTTCACTGGCTTGGGAAAGTGAAAGCCAAAAGCATAAGTGGTGTTTATACATGTGGCTTTTGGGTTCTTACTAGTGGAGAGAACAGATGTGGGGGAAGGGATTGTTGCACTTTCAGGGGTGTGTGTAAGTATAGTTTATCTGAAAGCCAACAGTTGGCTTGTGAGATATATATACACACACACAGCAGCCAGGAGTGTGTGTAAAATCGATGTATGCCTCAAAGGGTTACACCCTACGAGGTATAGGAAATATGTAAGCAACTAAGCCCACCACCCTCCACTTGTAAGTAAACTATCAGTATTGAGATGGATGGACCTTTCATTAATCTAACAATATCCTGCCTAGATCATGGCTTGTATCCTGACCGAGCGCAAAATTGTCTTCTTCTCTTCGGACTGGGCCTTGCTGACGCTTTTGGCCGAGTGTTTCATGGTCTATCTCCACCCCATCAAGTGGCAGCACACCTTTGTACCCATCCTATCCCGACATATGCTGGACTTTATTATGGCTCCAACCTCATTCCTTATGGGCTGTCATGTGGATCACTACAAGGAAGTGCGCAAGGTGGGTGTAAAGTATCAATTAAGTTGTTTTATTGGAGCAGAAATGTCTTGTTACAAAGTTTTAGTTGGTGGTTTTGTGGCGTGAGTCAAATTTTTGATGCTTTAGGCTCCATAACTCACACGGTTATTAGACACATACTTTACAAGGTCACATTTATGGGGATGTTTACATTGGTAAAACAAGATGAACAAGTGTGACTGACAGAGCTGTGTCACCACATTCTCAGTATAGCCCTAAGAACACAAAGTGTTTTCCTCTTCGTGACTGGTATAGAACAGACATTGAGTCATTAGACAGGAAAAGATTCAGACTGTCAAAAGATTAGGCTGACGTCTTGATGTTGTAAAGTGTTATAAGCTACCTTCAAATACCACTGACTCCAGGAAAAGTAAAAGTTCTCTCTTTCAGTGCGGCTGACCTTGACCCTATGGGGTTTAAATGCTCGTTTAGGTCTAGGGAGACAGGAAAAGCATTTTAAATTACCCCAGCCTCCTCTTCCCTGGAATCTGGTGCTCCCCTGCATTTCAGCGGTGGGCCATTCCTTGACGTTCTCATGTTCAATGCAAGACTACAGAACCTGCATTGGACTGGATGACATCAGAGGACCTGCAACCACTGGAGCATAGGGGAGAGGAAACTGCAGAGACCCATTTTGCAAAATGGAGGGAGCCTGCAGGAGTAGTAGACTGGATAGGTAAAAGTGCTTTTCTTGATTTCTGAAGGCATAACATGAGTAATTAAAACCTGTAGTGGCACCAAACAAAGCTTGTATATACATACAAAAGTATTTGGCCGCTTGTCTTTACACGCACATGAACTTTAATGGCATCCCAGTCTTAGTTCGTAGGGTTCAATATTGAGTTGGCCCCGCCCTTTGCAGCTTTAATAGCTTCAACTCTTCTGGGATGGCCGTCCACAAGGTTTAGGAGGGTGTCTATGGGAAGGTTGGACCATTCTTCCAGAAGCACATTTGTCAGGTCAGGCACTGATGTCGGGGGAGGAGGCCTGGCTCGCAGTCTCCGCTCTAATTCATCCCAAAGGTGTTCTATGGGGTTGAGGTCAGGACTCTGTGCAGGCCAGTCAAGTTCCTCCACCACAAACTGGCTCCTCCATGTCTTTATGGACCTTGCTTTGTGCACTGGTGAGCAGTCATGTTGGAACAGGAAGGGGCCATCCCCAAACTCTTCCCACAAAGTTGGGAGCATGAAATTGTCCAAAATCTCTTGGTATGCTGACGCCTTAAGAGTTCCCTTCACTGGAACTCAGAGGCCAAACCCAACCCCTAAAAAAAAAAAACCCCCACACCATAATCCCCCCACCAAACTTTACACTTGGCACAATGCAGTCAGGTAAGTACCGTTCTCCTGGTAACCGCCAAACCCAGACATGTCCATCAGATTGCCAGACAGAGAAGTGTGATTGGTCACTCCAGAGAACACGTCTCCACTGCTCTAGAGTCCAGTCCATCCGTGCCCCTTGAGCCTGCAAATAGTTGATAAGTAGATTTGACTAACACTCAGAAGATGAGGTCAGAATTGAATGTTGGGGGCGCTGGTATTTGGGTGTTATGTCTGCAGCCTGTGCGGTGATAGGCCAGCTCGGTAAGGTAAGGCCAGGGAGAGCACCTGTCAGTTCTGGGCACAGTCACACCAACCCTTCTCCCACACCATGTCTGAAAAGCCGTCGGCCTGCTGAAGGACCTCTTCACTGGAGGGTTGATGGGGTTGTGGGGGGGGGGGGGGGAGGGTGTGCCTGACATCTGGACACTATTAAGGTTAGACTGCTGGGGGGGGGGGGGGTGGAATGTAGGAGGGAGGGGAGGGGGTGTAATATGATAGCAAAATTGCATGGGGGGCCCCAATAAAATGTTTGCCCAGGGTCTAATCAATAATACAGATGGCCCCGACCTTGCACAATATAGATGTGAGCAGTGCCTACATTATTTCAAGGCTATATATAGCCAAAATAGTGCAGTGGGGTGCACAATTCAAGAATAATGGGTGCAGGAAAATTGCAGGTCCCAATTTGTCACTAATACACACCCCAAATAATTTCCGCACTCCAGTTTGCCAGCTGCAGCCTTCAGCGTCATTTATTCACAGAGTACATAGGGAAATACAACACAACAGTTCAGAGTATCCCTGTTCGTCTTCAACACAGCGGCTGAATGGTTAGCACTTCTTCCTGGCAGTACTGGGGTCGTTGGTTCGAATCCCAACCACGGCACCACCTGCCTGGAGTTTGCATGTTCTCTCTGTGCCTGCGTGGGTTTCCTCTGGGCACTCCGGTTTCCTTCCACACTCCAAAGACATGCTGGTAGGTGAATTGGCTCCTGTCTAAATTGTCCCTAGTATGTGTATGTATGAATGTGAGTTAGGGGCCTGAGATTGTACGCTCCTTGAGGGTTAGGGACTGATGTGAATGTACAATATATATGGAAAGGGCTGAGTAAATTGACAGCGCTATATAAGTACCTGAAATAAATATCTGAGGACGTGTGGGGACACCTGAAAACTGTTGTGTTGTATCTTCCTGTGTACCTGATGAATAAATTAGTCCTGGCAAAAGCAGTCGGCGGCAATTTTTTTTTAATTCCCTGCTGCAATCTTCAGTGTCTCTTGCTATGCCAGGAATTGGAACCGTTGAGCTGGTTGGTGCTGACTTGTTTGTAAACACAGGCATTTGATCATTGTAATTGGCTGTCCTATTGATTCAATGATTAAGAACCATGCTGTATGACTCCCTATCACTTTATCTTGACAGCACTGTTACAAAGCTAGCAGCACATCTGTGGTAACTGCTAGTTGTATTGGGGGGGTTAATAATGTATCCTCAGCATATGACATCGAGCTAAGCAATGTTCATATATTCATGAGATAAAAAAAATTGCAGCGCTAATTGAACATAAAATCTCCCATTCACAAAAATGGCAATAAATATACATAAGTGGCAACAAAGTCCATGTGGGATTCCCATATATGAAAGCAGAAACCTGTGCAGAGAAAAGAGAGTTCCAATCCAAGGAGGAGACTGTCACCTTCCACCCAAATAAATTGGCTTCTTACCAGAAAAATAGACCGCCCGGCGGGTTGGCCAGCATGAGCAGATTAATAAATCCAGCCGGTACTGCAACCGGTCCTGTGTGGAAAACACTCACAGAGCAATCTGGGATATTTCTCCAAATAAAACTTCAGATAGCAAATTTCCCCTCAGGCAACCACAACACCACATGAAAAGAAGAATTGCCAGCTCATAGTTTAGTAAGTTAATTGCTCCAAACAATTTATTCAGATTGCACTTACACAGCAAGCGTTTGAAACAGCATAACAGTAACACTGTAGTAAGTTTCAAACCAACCAGATGGCCGCCGTCCATCCAGAGCACGATGACGTCATGGTGTGGCTCCATCCTACGCGTTTCGTCATCAGACATCGTCAGGGGCGCGGCCAGCGTGCCGCATCGCTCGATATGAATAGGACTAGGAGGGGCACTCCCTGTCATTGAAGAGCGTTTCATTGACCGGAAACGCCACCTCAAACAGGAGACAAAACTAAATGGATTAAAAGGAACACTTCCCCACACTGAGGTGCATTCCACCAGCAGGAAATGCAAACCCCAGTGGGGAGTGTGAAATATCCAAGTTACCACGGGTCAAACACAAAGTTTATTAATAAACGAATACTGAAAGCTGCTATCACAGAATCAATAGGCACAAATGAAGTCGTCATCTTAATCTTCAAAAAAAATTATATAAAACATCCATAACAATAAATGAGACAAAAAGCAGGGACAGTGCCATCTTGTGTTACAAATGACAACAAATGCAAATAAAACCATAATTATCATGATAAAAAAAAATAAAAATCAAACACCATTACCTCTACAAAATAAAATCTGCTGTTATTCATATGTTCATATATGAATTACAAGAAGAGGTTAAAGTATAAGTAAAGGCAAAACCTTTTTTTTTTTTTTTTTTTTAAGTTTTGGACAGAGTGGAGAGGGATTAGAACTCCTGTCAGTGTTTATTGATGTCTGTTACCCCATTAGGGAGATTCACCCGCTCCGATTGCCCTGAAAGGGAGATTCACCCACACTGATTATCATTGAAAGTGAAAGTAAAGACAATTCCACATTTTGACCCCAGAAAAGTAACAAAGGGGAAATGGGGGCACTAGTTCTGGTGACCTGGGGGTCCCCAAGGGATTTCCTTAATTTGCAGGGATTTTCCTCCCACTTCTTGTTTGGGCCATGGGACAGGAAGTGAAGGGAAATCTCCGCAATGGGACACAGTTGGCGAAAAATAATCTGACGGGTTATAACCCTCCCTTTCTCTATCCAAAATAAATGTAAAATTTTGCCTATATTCTACTTTAAAGGTTTTTATTTGCTTCTCTTTTGCCTTTTCTGGTTATTCCCTCCCCCTCCATCATGTTAATGCATTTTTGAAAACAAAATCTTTCCATTTTCATTGCATACCTTATTGTAAACCCAGTGATGGCATCTTTATGCAATGCAGATCCACTATGACCTTAAACTTCTTTTTTATTCATAACTGTCTAAAGATCTATAATGTAGAAAATGAAAGGAAGTCTTAAAAATAACCGGTGTATAACCTTAACCTCCTCCCGCCCGCTATATAAGGAAATGACGGACGGGTGGTGGTTCTCTCGTCATATGATGTCCTCCCACTGTAACCGCGTGTGCGCGCCCCTGGGGGCGTGCAGCGCGACGATCGGTGGTGCGCTGTATCCCTGGGACACAGCGGATCACCGATCAGGGAAAAGAGTCAATAACGTTGGCTCTGTCATGTGATCAGCTGTGTCCAATCACAGCTGATCGCATATAAATAAGGAAATGCCGGTTATCTGCATTTCTCTCCTCACCAGCTGTCACGCTGCCAGAGGAGAGGAGAGCCGGTAATCGGCATTCCTCAGAGGGGACATGTACACTGATCATCAGGGCATTGATGATCAGTGCCACCTGTCAGTGTCCATCAATGCCACATATCAGTGCCCATCTGAGCTGCCTATCAGTGCCAACTATCAGTGACAGCCAGTGCCGCCTATGTGTGCTGCCAATCAGTGCCACCCAACAGTTCCAGTCAGTGCCACCCAACAGTGCCAGTCAGCGCCACCTTTCAATGCCAGTCAGTGCCACCTATCTGTGCCATATATGAGTACTGCCTTTCAGTGCCCACTAGTGAAGTCTGTCAATGCCCACCAGTGTCGCCTGTCAATGCCTTCAGTGCCACCTATCAGTGCCAGTCAGTACCGACTTTCAGTGCCACCCAACAGTGCCAGTCAGTGCCACCCATCAGTGCCACCTAGTGCCATCTATCAGTGCCATATATGAGGACTGCCTTTCAGTGCCCACTAGTGATGCCTGTCAGTGCCCACCAGTGTTGCCTGTCAATGCCCATCAGTGCCAACCTACCAGTGCCTCCTCATCAGTGCCGCCTATGAGTGCCCAACAATGCAGCCTATCAACGCCCATCACTGCAGCCTACTTAGCGCACATCAGTGAAGGAGAAAAATTACTCATTTTATAACAGAAACTAAGTAAAAAATTTTTTTTTTTTTTCAAAATTTTCAGTTTTTGGTTTATCAAAAAATAAAAAACCAAGTGGTGATTATATACCACCAAACTAAATCTCTATCTGTCTCAAAAAAATGATAACAATTTCATACGGGTTCAGTGTTGCATGACCGCGCAATTGTCATTCAAAGTGCAACAGCGCTGAAAGCTGAAAATTGGCCTGGGCAGGAAGGGGGTGAAAGTGCCAAGTAGACAAGGGCAATTTCCTAATTAGTACAAAAATACAAAATATTGGAACAGATATACAACTGCCTTCATTATAGGGAGATAACAGCCAGGCAGCAATGATGTCTTTAGCTGCTTGTTGGAGACGTGTATAGGGCAGGGTCAGTATCCTGGCCACATACCACAACCCAAAGGCATGGATTACTGGATTATTATGGGTTACTGTGGTCACTAAAAGGCTCAAATGCCCATCAAAATCAAATATTCCACAGTACCCGGTACTGATACTGAGGTTTCCTATTGTTTTCTCTTTTAGGAAGCTGAAGATTTGGTCTTAATAAACATTGATCACGGGAACATCTCCTTCTTCCTGAACGAAGATGAGGAGGAGTGCGATGTCCCAGATATTCCTGTAGATGCTGCTGAGATGTTTATATGCAGGTAAGTGGTATTACCGATGTCACTGTGCATTGGGGATTAATAATCTGTTACTTGCTTAGATCTGTGAACCAATGGATCAAATGGCAGGAGAGTCTGAATACTGGGAATCAATCATTTAAAAAAAAAAAAAATAAATATATATATATATATATATATATATATATATATGGTAATGTACCTGTCAAATTCGGGTACCCGCTCCACAATGGTGCCAATCCTTAATGGGAGCGGGGGACAAAGGCTTAAAGCGGAACTTCCCCTTTTGGGTGGAGCTCCGCTTTAAAGAGACATTAATTTCTGTTATGTTGGAACACCTTATCAGCTTGACTTTATTTTGGTGGTATTTATTCACCACTGGGATTTTTATTTATTTTCCTATATAAATGAAAAAGTCCGAAAATTTAAAAAAAAAAAATTATTTTGCAAATAACCTTTCTTGATAAATGTTGATCAGTTATCTTTTAGTAATTAAAAATAACCCAAATTAGTTTATAACCAAAAATTATAATTTTTCAAAAACATTTTTTACATTTTTATTTTGTTTTTTTATATTATTTGTTTTTTTTTTTTCTTTTTTTTTTTTAACAAGCTGTCACCCTAGCAGTACAGTGTCACCATAGTGATACTGTACTACTTGTGGAGGGAGATGAAGATTTTTTTTTTTACACTGATTGCTTTTACACCCATAAATTCTGTAAAAGCAATAATTTCTCCTTCTCTCTGGCTGCATTCTTGCATTCATTGATCAATACTGTGTGAGCTGTGATTGGTTACAGCTTGTCACATGGTACAAGGCTGTTGTGAATAGCCTTGTACCATGTGACCTCTGTGATCATTCACAGATTTCACACGTAGTAAGCAATGATGTCAGAAGTAACATCTTGCTTACTACTATTCATGTGATCACTGATTGGCCAATCAGTGATCACATGATCGGGACCTCACACTGAGGTCCCGTACAGAGATCAGTGTCCTCTAATCCCATCTAATAAATCACCTCAGTGTAACCTGGCTCAGCAGATCCCCTGTTCATTAGTACCCCCAAACTCTGCTGAACCTCCTCTCTCTCTGGTCTCCGCTCACCTCCCGCTATATTGCTGCCACTCTGCACATCACGTGTGACATTGCTATTTTCTCCTACTCTGGTCCTGCAGCTCTGCTGATCCTCTGCCACTCAGTCCTGTCACCTTCCACTATAGTGTTTCCCATGTTACACAACACATGTGCCGTCTGCTGGTTGCTCCACTCCTGTCCAGACCGCGCTCATCTTCCTGTTGCTCCAGGCTGCACACCAAATGTGACAACTGCACCAGACACTCCGAGAATATATACTGAACTGACTACTGATGACGTCTTTCCGAATCGCTTATTGGTCTCCCAGTGCATCCTGGGATATCTCATAATCTGCAATACTTTCAAAACAAAGCAAGTGGGAGAGGAAAGCTTAAAGCGGAACTTCCTTTTCGGGTGGAGCTCCACTTTAAAGGGACATTAATTTCTGTTATGTTGGAACCCCTTATCAGCTTGACCAATCTCCAAACTCCCAAATATCTCATTGTAGAACTAGGAGACTAAAGCAGGCATAGACGGCTCATATATTGATTGAGAGGAATTACTTGATTTGTTTGAGGAATTACTTGATTTCATTTCCATTTTCGGAATGCATTTACAAATATATGTAAAAATATATGTTAGAATTACTTTTTTTTTATAAGTTAAAAAAAAAATCTGAAGAATATATTTAAAAAAAAAAAAAAAAAAAAAAAAAAAAAAAAATATATATATATATATATATAATATATATATATATATATATATGTATTTTTTTTTTTAAAAATATATTCTTCAGATTTTTTTTTAACTTATAAAAAAAAGTAATTTTAACATATATTTTTACATATATTTGTAAATGCATTCCGAAAATGTAGATTTGTATTTTTAAAGACATACATACAGTTTATTTGAAATTATTTTTAAAAATATACATTTAATTTATTTTGTAATAAAACCTAATTTCAACATACAGTGTGTGTGTGTGTGTGTGTGTGTGTGTATGTGTATGTGTGTATGTGTTATATATATATATATATATATATATATATGTATGTATATATATATATATATATATATATATATATTGTGTGTGTGTGTATATATATATATATATATATATATACATATACTGTATGTTGAAATGAGGTTTTATTACAAAATAAATTAAATATATATTTTTTAAAATTATATATTTATTTATATTTATTGAAATATCTTTTGAAATATATTGAATACGGCCAAAATTGTAGCATTTCAAATATATGTCAATATATTTGGGAAGAATATTTTTAAAATATATTTCAAATATATTTTTCTTCCATGTGGGAAGATACATCTAACCTGGAGAATAATTGTCATTCTATAAACAAGGAAGGCAGTTTATTAAATGATCTGTACGTATTGAATGTTCTTTTTTCAGTCTACTGTGTACATGGGTTTATACTGCCTATATGTTTTCTGTTGTGCAGAGTGGAGAGCCTTCAGCTGCACTATGACCTGGAGCTGTGTCATCGCTCTTCACCCATTGATATTGGAGAAGTGAGACTTCGGAGACGGCTCTGGCAGCAGAACCTGAATGTGGAGATACAGGAGATTGCACTGCAGCTTATTGTGGATATATTCCCGGTAACAACTAATGCACAGTGATCAGGACTGTGATGGGAGATGCCTTATTATCAGAATCAGGACTGGAAATGAGCATCATGGTCTTCTAAAGGGAGGAGGGTACAGAGTGAGAAGAAGAATAATGGTGTACTGCAGAAAGGAGCATGGGGGGGCGGGGGGTCAGTGTAATATAGGGAGGGGGTCAGGGTGTCAGTGTAATATAGGGAGGAGAGTCAGGAGTATGGAGGGGAATGATGGTGTAATATTGAGTTGGGAGTCAGGAGTATGGAGGGGAATGGTGGTGTAATACTGAGAGTAGAGTCAGGCATATGGAGGGGACTGATGGTGTAATATTGAGAGGGGAGTCAGGAGTATGGAGGGGATCATGGTGTATCAGAGAAAAGAGAGTCAGGATTATGTGGGAGGGCAGTATTATATTACAGAATATAAATGAAGGGGTATGTAGGAGAATGATGGTCTAATAAAGAGCTGAAATTGGGAAGAATGGAGAAGAATTGATGGCATAATACAGAGAGGAGAGTCAAAAGTATGGTGAAGAATAATGTTGTAATACTGAGAGAAGTAGTCAGGAATGTGGAAGGGGATAATGGTGTAATACAGAGTCGGAAGTATGGAGGAGAAGTGTAATACAGGGAGGAGAGTCAGGAGTATGAATGGAAATGATGGTGTAATACAGAAAGGGGAGTCATGAGTATGGAGGGGAATGATGGTGTAATATTGAGAGGGGAGTATGGAGAAGGAGTGTAATACAGGGAGTAGAGTCAGGAGTTTAAAGGGGGAATAATGGTGTAATGAAGAAGTGGAAGTCAGGAGTCGGAAGTAGGGGGACTGCAATACAGAGAGGAGAGTCAGGAGTATGAAGTGGAATGAGGATGTAATGAAGAGAAGGGAATCAGGAGTATGGAGGGGGGATGATGGTGTAATACAGAGAGGACAGTCAGGAGTATAGAGGGGGAGTGTAATACAGAGAAGTAGAGTCAGGAGTGTGAAGAGGAATAATGGGTGTAATACAGAAGTGGGGTCAGGAGTTAAGAGTATGGAGTCAGGGAATGATGGTGTATTATTGAGAGGGGAGTCAGGAGTATGGAGGAGAATGATGGTGTAATATTGAGAGGGGAGTCAGGCGTATGAATGGGAATGATGGTGTAATACAGAAAGGGGAGTCATGAGTATGAAGAGGAGAATGATGGTGGTAATATTGAGAAAAGGGAGTCAGGAGTATGGAGGGGAATGGTGGTGTAATATTGAGAGGGGAGTCAGGAGTATGGAGGGGGAATGGATGGTGTAATATTGAGAGGGGAGTCAGGAGTGTGGAGGAGAATGGTGGTGTAATATTGAGAAGGAGTCAGGAGTATGGAGGGGAATGGTGGTGTAATATTGAGAGGGGAGTCAGGAGTATGGAGGGGAATGGTGGTGTAATACAGAAAGGGGAGTCATGAGTATGGAGGAGAATGGTGGTGTAATATTGAGAGGGAGTCAGGAGTATGGAGGGGAATGATGGTGTAATATTGAGATGGGATCAGGAGTATGGAGGGGAATGGTGGTGTAACACAGGGAGAATCAGGAGGGTAGAGCAGTTTTTATTGTGCATTTTAGGTATAGGCTATATTATATGGGGTGATTATATCTAATATTGAGTTCTATTCGAGAACTGCACATGATCCTATCACACTGCATGTCATCCTTGTCCTTTATCTTCATATATTTGGCAGGGATGTGAAGGCTCACCTGAATTATGAGCACCGAGTGTTTAACAGCGAGGAGTTCGTGAAGACACGGAGTCCCGCAGACCAACCCTTCTACAAAAAGGTGACAGGAGGGGATTAATGGATCAAAATCACACCTGCAGAATTCTCACTTGTGTACCTTGTGGTGCCACGTTTTGGAATGCTGTAAAGAATGAATGGCAGCACATTGCACCAATGCATGTAATGTAGGTTACTGTGCGTTGTAAAAAAAAAAGTGTGATTGGACCCTTACACAGTTGATACCATGAAGGCCAACTCTTTCCAATGATGTGGTTTCTGTTTACAGTGGAAATTGAGTTGAATTCTTAGCAGGCTCTTGTATGAATGTTAAGATTTTTTTTTGTAGTACTCCATTTTTCCACCCCCTCCTGAAAAGCCTATATCCAGTAAAAATTAACTGCCTTCCCATCCCCCTCTTACCCACCCGGCATGTTATTTTTTTCTCTTACCTTGTAAAGCAAGTTTTATTCATCTAAGTCTGCCATCTTGATCCCTTGCCAGCGCCGATTTCCTTGTGCAGGGGACAAGTAATCCAGTGCCGCAGAATGCCTGTTCAGCCAGTCCCTCATCGGTCCCTTCGGGCCCCTCAAACAGTCAATTAAAATGGTCTCCATCACAGCAGTGACATGGACACCTTAAAGTGGAGCTCCACCAAAAAGGGGAAAATCTGCTTTAAGCCTTTGTCCCCCTGCTCCCCATTAAGGATTGGCACCTTTGGGGAGCGGGTACCCAACTTTGACAGGTACCGCTCCCACTTCCACTGCGATTGCCTAGGTGATCATGACGAGGAAGTTGTCCTCCCCTCCTCCCTCCCCGTAGTCTTCTGGGACACATGGTAGGTCCCAGAAGACTACGGGGCCATTCACAAAGCGCAGCACTTCTCGTGCATGCGCAGTGGGCACCCGGCTGTGAAGCCGCAAGCTGTCACAGCCGGGTGCCCACACTAAAGATGCCGGTGCCGGGGAGAGAAGACGGCCGGTGAAACCAGCTGTGGTGAGGACACCGCTGGACCGAGGGACAGGTAAGTGGCTGTATTTTAAAAGTCATCAGCTGCAGTTTTTGTAGCTGCTGACTTTTATTTATTTATTTATTTATTTTTTTATAGGTGGATCTCCGCTTTAAGGGTTACAATACACCTACCATTCGATTTTTAGACTGATCATTTCTTTGTGAGTGGGCAAACATTTAAAATCAGCAGGGGACCAAATACTTACTTCCTTCACTGTAAGTGCTGGTTCACATATATGCAGATTGGATGCGGTTTGAACCGCATCCAATCCACATGACATGTGAAATAACATTGCTTCCTATGGTGCCTGTTCACATATATGTCCGGTGCACTGGCAGTGCGGATTCAGTTCGGATTGAGAGAGTCCTTTCCGATTTCTGAGCAGTGTGGTCTGGTTCAGGTGTGGATTACAGGCTGTTGACCTCTATGAGAACCGTTCTGAATAGCACATGTCATGAGTTTGTGACCACGATTTCAGGCCGGTTTTCTCTTTTCAAATCCGGACCTGAACCTCTGAAGGACTGCAATTTGCACTGAAACTGGAGGTGTCAAGCCGTACCGCACATATGTGAATCAGCACTAAGAAGAGCCCAACCTCCAGAAAACAGAAGAAGAGAGAGGACTGTTCTGCAATGCAGCGTCCTCATCTTGTGGACAAGGTAGTCCTATATAGACTTTAAACCACTTCCAGACCGGACACTTTTACCCCTTCCTGACCAGGGCAATTTTCAGCTAATAGCGCTATCACACTTTGAATGACAATTGCGCGGTCATGCAACACTGTACCCAAATGAATTTTTTATCATTTTTTTTAGATAGATAAAGCTTTATTTTGGTGGTATTTTATTCACCACTGGGATTTGTATTTTTTTTGCTATGTAAATGAAATGTCCAAAAAATTTTTAAAAAAGTGTTTTTTTTTATAAATTTTGCAAATAATAATATTTCATCATAAATCTTAGCCAAAATTTATTCCGTTATCTTTTTAGTAAAAAAAAAAAAAATCCAAATTCGTTTATAAGCAAAAATTATAATTTTTTAAACATTTTTTTTTACATTTTTATTTTATTGTTTTATATATTATTTTTTATTTTTATTTTTTTTTTTACATACTGTCACCCTAGCAGTACAGTGTCACCATGGTGACACTGTACTACTTGTGAGGGGTGATAAAGATTTTTTTTTTTTTTTTTCTTTTACACTGATTGTTTTACACATCCCATAATAGGATGTAATAAAGCAATCATTTCTCTTTCTCTTTGTCTGCATTCTTGCACTCTTGAGAAATGTACAGAGTGAGCTGTGATTGGTCACAGCTTGTCACATGGTACAAGGCTTTTGTGAATAGCCTTGTACCATGTGACCTCTGTGATCATTCACAGATTTCACACATAGTAAGCAATGATGTCACAAGTGACATCTTGCTTACTACTTTACATGTGATCACTGATTGGCCAATCAGCGATCACATGATCGGGACCTCGTACAGAGGTCCCGTCCGACGATCGGAGTTTCACTGTGTCCGGAGGACACAGCGGGCACCCGGAATCGTGGTGCTGCGCGCTCCCAGGAGCGCGCACAAGCAGGGTGCGGGGAGGCCGTTTATAGACGGTCACCCGACGCCTGCAGTGCCTCCGTCCGGCCGTTTATATATATACAACGGCCGTCGGGGAAGTGGTTAAGTAAGCAACACATAAAAGTCAAACTCCAGCTAAGACTTTTTTTTTTAAAGCAGAACTGAAAGCAAAAATTGTGAAACGGCGTGCTTTGTATTGCAGAAGAGACATGCAATGTCACTTCTACAATTCAATACACCTACCTGCACTGTTCACATCCTCTCTAGAATGTACTGTATGCCAAGATGACTGCACTCCTATGCATGTGCAGTAGTGACGTCATCCTGCGTTCGCCAGTCCAAGACGGCTAAAGATCAGCGCCCCTAAAAAGCAAGTGAGTATAGGTGAGTATTTGTGCCTTTAGTACAGATTTAAGAAATTAGGGCTCATTCACACCATGCTTTGGTCTCTGAAGAACAATCTGCATCTGGATTGCTTTTCAGAGAGGATTTGACAAGAGTTAAAGAGGCATTGTATTACCTCCTCACCGCCTCGCTTAAACGCCTGAATCCTGCACTAGCACGCCGCAACCGTGTACATTGTTTGTGGTTGTGGGGCGCTTGTGCAACGGCAAGGGGTTGCACTCGGTGGGTTCTACGCCCGTTGAAAGCAACAGTGGCTAAATCCTATCACTGCAGGTTATAACCCCACATGTTTTCCAGAATACATTATTTCTCACTTTGTTGGTCAGCAGTTAGTTAAGTCTATCCAGAACCATAATATGTAGACAGAAATGATCATCAGCACTGAGGTCCGTGTCACACCAGTGATCTAGTTGCCGGTGACATGCTTCAATAATGGTTTTCCAGAGAAGAAGGGAGTGACACCGATTAGGGAACGTGTCAGGTGCACTTCCATGACTTTGCCAGTGAAAGGCTCACCATGTGTGACACACGGCCCTAAGGCATGCATTGTCTGACTACAATAGTTGGCATCAATACAAAGACAAATGTCTCCTTAACCACTTCCAGTCCGGACACTTTCACCCCCTTCCTGTCCAGGCCAATTTTCAGCTTTCGGCGCTATCACACTTTGAATGACAATTGTGCGGTCATGCAACACTGCACCCATATGAATTTTTTTTTTGAGACATATAAAGCTTTATTTTGGTGGTATTTATTCACCACTGGGATTTTTTTTTTTTTTTTTGCTAAATAAATAAATTCCACAAAAATTTGTTTTTAAAAAGTTTCTTATAAAATTTTTCAACTAAATAATCTTTCTTCATAAATCTTGACAAAATTTATTCAGTTATCTTTTTAGTAAAAAAAAAATAACCCAAATTAGTTTATAACCAAAAATTATAATTTTTAAAAATTTTTTTTTTTTTACATTTTATTTTATTTTTTTTTATTATTATTATTTATGGTTTTTTTTGTACATACTGTCACTCTAGTAGTACAGTGTCACCATAGTGACACTGTACTACTTGGGGGTAATGAAGATTTTTTTTTTTACACTGATTGCTTTTACACCCATAAAGGCTGTAAAGGCAATTTCTCCTTCTCTGTGGCTGCATTCTTGCAGCCATTGAGAAATACTGTGTGAGCTGTGATTGGTCACAGCTTGTCACATGGTACAAGGCTGTTGTGAATAGCTTTGTACCATGTGACCTCTGTGATCATTCACAGATTTCACACGTAGTAAGCAATGATGTCAGAAGTGACAGTTTGCTTACTACTCTTCATGTGATCACTGATTGGCCAGTCAGTGATCACATGATCGGGACCTTGCACAGAGGTCCCATACAACGATTGGCGTTCCACTGTGTCCGGAGGACACAGCGGGCATCAGATCGCGGCGCTCCCCTGCACTGCCACTATCCGCTGTTTATAGACAATGGCCGGACGGGAAGTGGCTAATAAAAAGAGTTGTGGGCATTGTAACCAGAATTTCACCACTTTTCTCAAAGTGGAAATTAACAGCAATTATGAGCAGATGCAATAGGCAATAACAATGTTTAAAGCGGAGCTCCACCCAAAAGGGGAAGTTCTGCTTTAAGTCTTTGTCCCCCGCTCCCCATTAAGGATTTGCACCTTTGGGGAGGGGGTACCCGAATTTGACAGGTACCCACTCCCACTTCCGCTGCGAGCGCCTAAGACGAACAGAAGCGGAAGTTGTCCTCCATCCTCCCTCCTCGTAGTCTTTTGGGACACGTGTGACAGGTCCCAGAAGACTACAGGGCCATTCACAAAGCGCAGCGCTTCTCGCGCATGCGCAGTGGTCACCCGGCAGAGAAGACAGTCGGTGAAACCAGCAGTGGTAAGTGGCTATATGTTAAAAGTCAGCAGCTACAGTTTTTGTAGCTGCTAACTTTTATTTTTTTTTCATCTGGAACGCCGCTGTAAAGTGATATTAAAGTCTTAATTGTTTTTTTAGTTTCTGTTGGAAGACTTATTTGGATGCTGCTTTTTAATATTTGCAGGTTTTCCTTCCTTCGCCTTTCTGCTGGTCCCCTTTTTGCTGGTTTCCTGTTTCAGAGTGGCTCCTTCTCCTAGCAGGGTTCTATGGAGCCACCCTTTTGTGTGAATTTCGGGGATTCAAATATAGGAAGACAAGATCACACTGCCTGCATTTGTCATGCACAGCTTGAGAGGAGACGCACACAAGATACTCCATCTGCTCCTCCCAGTGATTGACAAGCAGGTTCGGAGGTGCTGCCTCTGGAGCTGATGTTGATCACATGCCTTGGAGGAGGAGCAGACGGTGTGTCCTGTGTGCAGACCTGGCTGTCGCATGCGTGTAGGCAGTGTGATCACTTCAGGCAAGAATTAAAGGATACATGTGTAATAGCACAAAGAACGATGGGACATGTATCCCTGTGAGTTGTACTTTCTGATGGCCTGAGTGGGTGTTTCCCAACCTGGAAGTTCTGGGAAGTGGTGCAGAAGAGCCTTCAGGGTGCTGTGCAAATATGCAAAAAAGTGAGTGGTTCTGAATGTTGATAAGGATACCTTTATTCTATTGTGTACAATTAATTTATACAGATCTGTTCTTGAAAAAAAAAAAAAAGATTAGTTTTTAAAGTATGGGAAAACTAGAAGCCCTCCCTCGCAGTGTGGCTGCACCTCCACTAAAAGGGTTGACTGCTTGTTTATGTCTAGGGCACAGGTGTCAAACACAAGGCCCGTGGGCCGAATCCGGCCCTCGAGGTCATTTCACGTGACCCTTGCACCTCTCCTGCAGATAACCCCTTGTCTCCGCCGCCACCTTGTCTCAGCAGTCAGCAGCAGAGTGGATAATAGAAATCTTCTGCCAAAACCTGCACCTCTCAGTGCAGCTGCAGCACCCCCTCATCTCTGCCTCTCCTGGTCTCAGCATTCAGGAGACTGTGGTAACTGACTCCACTCCTCCTCTGGTCCTCCTCCAGACCCTGCACATTCTGTTTTCCAGCCAGCTCTGCCCCCAAAGGGGGTGCATGATGATGTTAGGGAGGGTGTGGGATTCTTGACATCTGATGTAATGGGGGATTTGCTCTGGACATCTAGTCTTACATATACAACTGGCCCTTTGACGGCAACCATAATCCTGATACGGCCTGCGATGAAATGGAGACTTAGTGGTTAGCACTTTTGTCTGTCCACACTGGGAGATCGGGTTTGAATCCTGCTCAGTACAGTTTACAAGTTCTGTGCTTGCGTGAGTTTCTTCTGGATACTCAGGTTTCCTTCCACACTCCAGTTTCATGCTGGTAGGTAGAATGACTCCTGTCCAATGTGTGTACACGTGTATGTGAGATCGGGACCTTATATTGTAGGCTCCTAGAGGGCAGGGACTGATGTGAATGTACAGTATGTACAGCGCTGCATAAATTGTCAGCACTATAGAAATGCCTGTAATAATAATAATATGACATCTACCGTGTGCTCGCTTCAATCTGAGACAGGGCACGTTGGGTGCTGATTTATTACTGGGGATGTGGACCGTATGTACTCCTGACATTTATTTATTATTAATTCAGGTACTTATATATCGCCATCAATTTACACAGCGCTTTACATATATATTGTACATTCACATCAGTCCCTAACCCTCAAGGGGTGTACAATCTAAGGTCCCTAACTCACATTTCATACATACACATACTAGGGACAATTTAGACAGGATCCAATCAACCTACCAGCATGTCTTTTGGAGTGTGGGAGGAAACCGAGTACCCGGAGGAAACCCACGCAGGCACAGGGAGAACATGCAAACTCCAGGCAGGAGGTGCCATGGCTGGGATTCGAACCAACGACCCTGGTACTGCCAGGCGGAAGTGCTAACCATTTAGCGACTGTGCTGCCCATGAGCAGGCTTTGGACAGAAGAATGCATGTGTTACCAGTGGGAATGAGGGTCCAAGGACTCCTAATATAAGGGATCATATAACATCTACAGTGTGCATTCCTGGTGTTTCCTGTCCTGGCCCAATCAAAGGTTCTAGGAAGGAGCTTGTGGCAACAAAATGTAAGAGATTGGCTATATTTTCAGACCTAATTGATGCTGGTGGAAACAATTACTTTAACCTCTTGCCGTCCGCCTGCTGTTTATAAACGGCAGGGCGGTGGCACTCCAGGGGCGGGTTGCCGTTCCTAAATGGCACCCGCCTTTTCTAGCTGTGCGGGCTCCCTGGGAGCACGCACCACCGCGATCCGGTGCCCGCTGTGTCCTCCGGACACAGTGAAACACCGATCGTCGGACGGGACATCTGTACGAGGTCCCGATCATGTGATCACTGATTGGCCAATCAGTGATCACATGCAAAGTAGTAAGCAAGATGTCACTTGTGACATCATTGCTTACTACGTGTGAAATCTGTGAATGATCACAGAGGTCACATGGTACAAGGCTATTCACAACAGCCTTGTACCATGTGACAAGGTGTGACCAATCACAGCTCACTCAGTATTTCTCAATGGCTGCAAGACTGCAGACAGAGAGAAAGAAAAATGATTGCTTTTACACCCATATAGGATGTAAAAGCAATCATTGTAAAAAAAAAAAAAAATCTTCATCACCCCCCACAAGCAGTACAGTGTCACCATGGTGACACTGTACTGCTAGGGTGACAGTATGTAAAAAAAAAAAAAACAAAACCCATAAATAATAATAAAAAAAAAATAAAATAGAAATTAAAAAAAAAGTTTAAAAATTATAATTTTTGGTTATAAACTAATTTGGCTTATTTTTTTTTTTTTACTAAAAATATAACGGAATACATTTTGGTCAAGATTTATGATGAAAGATTATTTATTTGCAAAATTTTATAAGAAAAACACATTTTTTCAATATTTTTGGACTTTTTCATTAACATAGCAAAAAAAAAAAAAAAAAATCCCAGCGGTGAATAAATACCACCAAAATAAAGCTTTATCTGTCTCAAAAAAATGGTAAAAAATTCATATGGGTACAGTGTTGCATGACTGCGCAATTGTCATTCAAAGCGTGATAGCACTGAAAGCTGAAAATTGCCCTGGTCAGGAAGGGGGTAAAAGTATCCGGACAGGAAGTGGTTAAAAAAAAAAAAAAGAGGAGGCTTTAATGCTACTTTAACTTTTTTAAAGTTTTTTCCATACTATATAAAGTTTGCATTATTGCTGATGTGTAAAGATTGACCTCTGGTGGATAAGTATCAGCTAATCTGCATTTTTTTTGTTTTGCTTTGCAGGTGTTAGAAACTTACTTGTTCAACTCATTTCTTAAAGCGCGTCTGAACAAGAAAATGGACGCCTTTACCCAGATGGAGATGAACACGTCCTCTGAAATTGATGGGTAACTTATTGAAGCCCACATCGGTCCAAAACCATTTTTTTTAGATAGCGTGCAGAAGTGTTCAAATTTTTCCTTTCAGTTACTGTACATGTAAAAGAATCTAAAAAAATATACAGTTGGCTGGATGTACAAAGCTCTTATAAAGGGAGACTGTTTCAGGCTGGTGGGGATCTTTCTCTGCCGGCAGAATACAATGATCGGTGCTGCCGGTTATTGCCAATGGCACTGATTGTTTAGGAAAAACTCGACAGGCTGGTTGTATGCAAGCCAATCGATCAACTTGTATACAACCAGCTAGCCTACATGGCTTGAAATCTGTGTGATCCCTGCTGAATTTCGATCCATGTATTGCTGGCTTAAAACTTGTTTCAGTTTTAGTTGACTGATAGATGTAAAAGTTTCAGCACTAATTGTTCTATTTAGAACTCTGCTAGATGCCTCTTTGTATCGGTCAGCTCTCTGATATGTGAGTTTTCAAAGCAACAACTCAGACACACTGGGGGAGATTTACTAAAACTGGGGCACTCGGAATCTGGTCCAGCTCTGCATGGTAGCCAATTGGCTTCTAACTTCAGCTTCTTCAGTTAGTGCTCAGTCATATCAGTGCGACTTTAGGTGCGATTTGCAAATTGAAATCTCATCTAATGAATGTGAATGTCAGAGTCTTAACATTTGCGATTTTCTGCAGCGTTATTTCTAAAGTAGTTCTTGCATTACTTTTTTCTGCAGTTTTATTGCAATTTCACATACATAGAATAGAATGGAAATCACACTGCAAATTGCAAGAAATCATTGAAAATCTGCACAAGTAGCAATAAAGTTCTTCAGAAATTGCATCTGAAATCGTGCTGAAATTGCACAAATCGCGCAATTTTAATATGCAGCGGTGTGACCGGTGACTTCAAGTGTTACTAAACCCAGGACCCTGCATTCACTATATCTGGTCTCCCCGGACCCTGCATTCACTATATCTGGTCTCTCCAGACCCTGCATTCACTATATCTGGTCTCCCCGGACCCTGCATTCACTATATCTGGTCTCCCCGGACCCTGCATTCACTATATCTGGTCTCCCCGGACCCTGCATTCACTATATCTGGTCCCCCGGACCCTGCATTCACTATATCTGGTCTCCCCGGACCCTGCATTCACTATATCCAGTCTCCCCGGACCCTGTATTCACTATATCTGGTCTCCCCGGACCCTGTATTCACTATATCTGGTCCCCCCCGGACCCTGTATTCACTATATCTGGTCCCCCCGGACCCTGCATTCACTATATCTGGTCTCCCCGGACCCTGCATTCACTATATCTGGTCTCCCGGACCCTGCATTCACTATATCTGGGTCTCCCGGAACCTGCATTCACTATATCTGGTCTCCCCGGAACCTGCATTCACTATATCCGGTCTCCCCCCGAACCCTGCATTCACTATATCTGGTGTCCCCGGACCCTGCATTCACTATATCTGGTGTCCCGGACCCCGCATTCACTATATCTGGTCTCCCCGGACCCTGTATTCACTATAACTGGTCTTCACCCGGACCCTGTATTCACTATATCTGGTCCCCCCGGACCCTGCATTCACTATATCTGGTCTCCCCGGACCCTGCATTCACTATATCTGGTCTCACCCCCCGGAATTCACCTTTTTTCTGCAGTTTTAATTGCAATTTCACATACATAGAATAGAATGGAAATCACACTGCAAATTGCAAGAAATCATTGAAAATCTGCACAAGTAGCAATAAAGTCTTCAGAAATTGCATCTGAAATCATGCTGAAATTGCACAAATCGCGCAATTTTAATATGCAGCGGTGTGACCGGTGACTTCAAGTGTTACTAAACCCAGGACCCTGCATTCACTATATCTGGTCTCCCCGGACCCTGCATTTCACTATATCTGGTCTCTCCAGACCCTGCATTCACTATATCCGGTCTCCCCGGACCCTGCATTCACTATATCTGGTCTCCCCGGACCCTGCATTCACTATATCCGGTCTCCCCGACCCTGCATTCACTATATCCAGTCTCCCCGGACCCTGTATTCACTATATCTGGTCTCCCGGACCCTGTATTCACTATATCTGGTCTCCCCCGGACCCTGTATTCACTATATCTGGTCCCCCCCGGACCCTGACCCTGCATTCACTATATCCTGGTCTCCCCGGACCCTGCATTCACTATATCTGGTCTCTCCAGACCCTGCATTCACTATATCCGGTCTCCCGGACCCTGCATTCACTATATCTGGTCTCCCCCGGACCCTGCATTCACTATATCCGGTCTCCCCGGACCCTGCATTCACTATATCCAGTCTCCCCGGACCCTGTATTCACTATATCTGGTCTCCCCGGACCCTGTATTCACTATATCTGGTCTCCCCGGACCCTGTATTCACTATATCTGGTCCCCCCGGACCCTGCATTCACTATATCTGGTCTCCCCGGAACCCATGCATTCACTATATCTGGTGTCCCCGGACCCTGCATTCACTATATCCGGTGTCTCCCAGACCCCGCATTCACTATATCCGGTCTCCCCAGACCCTGCATTCACTATATCTGGTCTCCCCGGACCCTGCATTCACTATATCTGGTGTCCCCCGGACCCTGCATTTACTATATCCGCTCTCCCCGGACCCTGCATGCACTATATCCGCTCTCCCCGGACCCTGCATGCACTATATCCGCTCTCCCCCCGGACCCTGCATTCACTATATCTGGTCTCCCCGGACCCCGCATTCACTATATCCGCTCTCCCCGGACCCCGCATGCACTATATCCGCTCTCCCTGGACCCTGCATTCACTATATCTTGTCTCCCACAGTACACACAACATAGAAATGCAATTATTTTAGTAAATACAAACTGCTAAATACCTTTTCTCATCAGCAGTTAGAGCAGTCTTGTGACTTCTAGCAGTGTTCAGCAGAGCATTGGTTAAATCTTACAGGAGGAGTTTTCCCTAAGAGGATGCAGAACCCCTGACCTCTGTCTTGGCAGTGCTGATTGGCCCTGTGCTGATCACATGCACTCCCAAGGAAAAAAAAAAAAAAAACCTCTAGCAATACACACTAAACTGAGCACATGCAGTGTCTCCACATGATATGTCTTATCAGGAAATAAGAGGGAGACACTGGGAGAAGGGGAGGATCAGAGAAGACAGGATCAAACAGCGTTTTTACACAGTACAGAGGATTAACCCCTTAGGTTCCACAGTGAGTATAACAAGCATGCTTTACTGCATCTACAGACTGATTATACTATTTTGGGTTCAGTAACTCTTTAAGCTTTGGCAATAAAACTTGGAAGCTGATTGGTTTCTATGCAGAGCTGCACCTGATTCTGTGTACACCAGTTTTAGTAAATCTTCCCCATAATGACAATTGGGAATCAGACAATTTTGTATTATTTGTACGATTTGCATTAGTGATTTAGTTACTGTGTTGTTAAAGGTGAAGTCCACCTTTTGCACCGTGTTCTATGTACCCCCACATTTAGGGTGTGACTTCATGCATACCCCATCCCTAAAGCCCACACCGCCCCCCCCTTCCCCCGAAACGTGGGGTGCTTCTTCCTATGGACTCCTGTTATTCATTTTGGGTGAATGTTGCTGGTTCCACCTACACCGCTCCGTCCTCAAAGTCTGGCAGCAAGGAATGAAAGTTGGTATTAGTCCTAGTAACTCCTGGGACTCAGCAGAGCATGTCAGCAGCGGGGCGGTCACGTTACTACAATCGCAGTGCGGTCACACTTCCTTCTGCCCATTCTCCTTGCAGACCTGGGGATGAAAGTAAACACTGCAAGAGCCCTTGCATCACACCCAAGACACACTGATTGAGGATGCAATGCTCTGCAGGCTTCAGTACAATGTAGTAGTAAATGCACATTGATAACTATATTTTTTTTCAGCAAGGTAAATGTACCCTCTTAATGCCTACTTCATTTTTTTTATTTATTTATTTATTACAGGTACTTCTATAGAGCTGTCAATTTACACAGCGTTTTATATAGACAGTATATCGTATATTCACATCAGTAAACAAACGCAAAACAGGGCGGACTCTCATCGTGCATTACCGTGGTGAAACACTAATTTATTTAAAATAATATACATGAATACTCACAAACCAAAGGGGGATAAAAACAGAGAAGAAGAGTCCGTAATAACAGTCCAAAGTGACTGTAGACCCTTGGCGGGGTAAACTAACGCGTTTCAGGAGACGTACTCCCTTCTTCAGAGCTCTGAAATAAATTTGTATTTCACCACAGTAATGCACGATGAGAGTGCGCCCTGTTTTGCTTTTGTTTACTAGTACCAAGATTTCCCGATCTTCTAAGGGCTGCACCTCAACGCATGGCATCTATAGTTATCCTAGTCTGCATAAAGATTTGAGCGCTGGTTTTGTTTGTTTGTTTGATTACATTCACATTTAACCCTCAAGGGGCGTACAATCTGAGGTCCCTAACCCTCAAGGGGCACAATCAGTCCCTAACCCTCAAGGGGCGTACAATCTGAGGTCCCTAACCCTCAAGGGGCGTACAATCTGAGGTCCCTAACCCTCAAGGGCGTACAATCTGAGGTCCCTAACCCTCAGGGGCGTACAATCTGAGGTCCCTAACCCTCAAGGGGCGTACAATCTAAGGTCCCTAACCCTCAAGGGGTGTACAATCTAAGGTCCCTAACTCACATTCATACATACACATACTGGGGACAATTTAGACAGGAACCAATTAACCTACCAGCATGTCTTTGGAGTGTAGGAGGAAACCGGAGTACCGGAGGAAACCCACGCAGGCACATCTTTTTGACTTCAGGGAAGCACTGCAAGAAATGAATATATTTACAGCTCACAGTATATCAGTGTGATGGTCAGTGGTAAGAATGCTTCTTACATTTGTGGCCATTGGGAAGAATCCTTACAGATCGCTAAAAAGATCATTGGTGTCAGTGGTTACTCATCTGAGGAACCCCTAGCAACCTCTGAAGGAACCCCAGGGTTCCATGGAACCTTGGTTTAGAAACCCCCGTCTTAGACCATTGCTAAACTGAGAGATTCCTTGGAAGAAAAAAAAAGTAGGGGGTAGGGCACCAGGGAATGGGGAAAGGTAGGAATGAAGAAGGAGAGAGGGATAGGGCCAAGCAAGAGCTGCTTCAAGTTGATTTCAGGTACTTATATATCGCCATCAATTTACGCAGCACTTTACATATATATTGTACATTCACATCAGTCCCCTAACCCTCAAGGGGTGTACAATCTAAGGTCCCTAACTCACATTCACATACACATACTAGGGACAATGTAGACAGGAGCCAATTCACCTACCAGCATTTTTGGAGTGTTGGAGGAAACCCACGCAGGCAAGGGAGAACATGCAAACTCCAGGCAGGTGGTGCCGTGGTTGGGATTTGAACCAATGACCCTAGTACTGCCAGGCAGAAGTGCTAACCATTTAGCCCCTGTGCTGCCCACATCATGTGGTATTTCACCTGTTACGACCCTTTGTATCAGCATATATGTAACAGCAGGGCACTCTGAGATTTGCAGTATGTCTTTTTGGATGGAGGATCTGCTTGTATGTGCCTAATTGAAAAGCAGCCCTCAGTTTTCAAGTTAGTAAGCATGTGCTCATGTGCAGCTTTCCAGAGGATTTACATAAAAATCATTTATGTACATCCTCTGGAACTGCAGCTGTGGTAGGACTACAAGTCCCAGCATTCTTACTGATGCAGCGGAGTAGATGATTTGTTAGCCCTTCCACCTGGCAGTACTGGGGTCGTTGGTTCAAATCCCAACCACGGCACCACCTGCCTGGAGTTTGCATGTTTCTCCCTGTGCCTGCGTGGGTTTCCTCCGGGTACTCCGGTTTTTCCTCCCACACTCCAAAGACATGCTGGTAGTTAATTGGCTCCTGTCTAAATTGTCCCTAGTATGTGTATGTATGAATGTGAGTTAGGGACCTTAGATTGTACGCCCCTTGAGGGTTAGAGACTGAAGTGAATGTACAATATATATGTAAAGCGCTGCGTAAATTGACGGCGCTATATAAGTACCTGAAATAAATAAATAAATTTGTAAGTAAGCTGTAACCCTCCAGCTTTCCAGGACCAGGTCCATGCGTGTGAAATAAGCTGAAGGCATATTACCCCTGGAATATGCAGTTCAGTTTTGGGCTCCAATTCACAAAAGAACATTGGGGAACTGGAGAAAGTATAGAGAAGGATAACCAAATTGATAAGAGGCATGGAGGAGATCAGCTATGAGGGAAGATTAGAGGAACTGAATTTATTCTCTACTGAGAAGAGGAGATTAAGGGGGATATGAATCTCCATGTATAATACATAAGGGGGGATATGATCTCCATGTATAATAACATAAGGGGGGATATGATCTCCATGTATAATAACATAAGGGGGGGGGGGGATATGATCTCCATGTATAATACATAAGGGGGGATATGATCTCCATGTATAATACATAAGGATATGGGGGATATGATCTCCATGTATAATACATAAGGGGGGATATGATCTCCCATGTATAATATATAAGGGGGATATGATCATCCATGTATAGTTACATAAGGGGGGGGATATGATCTCCATGTATAATACATAAGGGGGGATATGATCACCAATGTATAAATCCATAAGGGGGGATATGATCTCCATGTATAATACATAAGGGGGGATAAGATCTACCATATATAAATACAATAATGATATATAAAACATAAGGGGGGATATGATCTCCATGTATAATACATAAGGGGGGATATGATCTCCATGTATAATACATAAGGGGGGATATGATCTCCATGTATAATACATAATGGCGGATATGAACTCCATGTATAATACATAAGGGGGGGATATGATACCATGATCTCCATATAATACATAAGGGGGGATATGATCTCCATGTATAATACATAAGGGGTCAAAATGATCTCCATGTATAAATACATAAGGGGGGATATGATCTCCATGTATAATACATAAGGGGGGATATGATCTCCATGTATAATACATAAGGGGGATATGATCTCCATGTATATAATAAGGGGTATATACTCCATTATATTATAAGGGGGGATATGATCTCCATGTATAATACATAAGGGGGGTTATGATCTCCATGGTATAATACATAAGGGGGGACATGATCTCCATGGTATAATACATAAGGTGGAAGGGGATGTGATCAGTCCATGTAATAATACATAAGGGGGGATGTGATCTCCATGTATAATACATAAGGGGGGATATGATCTCCATGTATAATACATAAGGGCGGATATGAATCTCCATGTATAATACATAAGGGGGATGTGATCCATGTATAATACATAAGGGGGATATATCTCCATGTATAATACATAAGGGGGGATATGATAGATCTCCATGTATAATACATAAGGGGGATATATCTCCATGTATAATACATAAGGGGGGATATGATCAATTCCATTATAATACATAAGGGGGATATGATCTCCATGTATAATACATAATAAGGGGGGATATGATCACCTTGTAAAATACATAAGGGGGGGATATGATCACCATGTATAATACATAAGGGGGGATATTGATCCAACCATGTATAATACATAAGGGGGGATATGATCTCCATGTATAATACATAAGGGGGGATATGGAACTCCATGTATAATACATAAGGAGGGATATGATCGACCATGTATAATACATAAGGCTGGGATATGATCTCCATGAATAATACATAATGGGGGATATGATCTCCATGTATGATACATAATGGGGGGGGATATGATCTACATGTATTAATACATAAGGGGGGGATATGATCTCCATGTATAATACATAATGGGGTGGGGGATATGATCTCCATGTATAATACTCTAATGGGGGATATGATCTCCATGTGTAATACATAAGGTGGGATAATGTCTCCATGTAATAATACAATAACGGGGGATATGATGCCTCCATGTAAATACATAAGGGGGATATGATCTCCATGTATAAAACATAAGGGGGGATATGATCTACCATGTATAATACATAAGGGGGGATATGATCTCCATTGTATAAATACATCAATGGTTTATATAGTGAACTCGTGTATTATTCCCCCCTGAGGTTCATCACGGAGGGACAAGGGGGCGCTCATCTGGAGGAAAAGAGATTTAATCCTCCAAACACGGAAAGGTCTCCTTCACAGTGAGAACGTGAAAATGTGAATGATGCTACTGAACTCCCTCAAGAGTTGGTTGTGGCCACTCAGTGGATTGCTGTAGGAAAGTCCTGGATTGTTTCTTGGATACACAGAATATAACTGGATATAACATTTATAGGTAATGCTGATCCAGGGAATATCCGATTGCCTCTCGGGGAATCAGGAAGGAATGTTTTCCCCTGCAGGAGCAAATTGGAATCGAGCATTTTGCTGGGTTTTTTTTTGCCTTCCTCTGGATCAACTGTGGGTTTAGGATTATAACTTTTTTTTCTATGTTTGGAACTGGATTGGAACTTTTGTCTTTTTTCAGCCAGATATAACTATGTAACTATGTCATAGGGCATCTCACCAGCACTAGAGACAGTTTGACTGCATCTGATCAAGGGGCGGACTGACAACTCATGGGGCCCCTGGGCAATAGAGATAGTAGGCACCCCCCAGTGAAGAGAAGCTTGTAACACACTTCTTGTGATTGCAGAAGTCCAGTATACTGGAAAGCCAGAGACGGAGAGCCACCGAAAGTTAAAACGCTTTTCGCCCTGAGACACATGTTCAGCAAAAAGCTCGGTCATCAGCATGCCAAACCTGCAGGACGTCAGTGTGGCCGAGCTACCACAGAGACCGCAATCTCTGAGGAGACCGCAGCCGCAGAATGGTAAGGATGGAGGACAATTGTAAAGCAGTACTCAGGTAAAAATACCTAAACAAGGGATGCTTCTGGGTGACGGGCAGCATTAGGTGTTGTACAACCCCAATTTCTAAAAAAAAAAATTGGGACACTGTAAAATCTACATAAAAACAGAATGGAATGATAAATCTCATAAACCCATAGTTTATTCACAATATAAAATAGAACAACTGAGAAAATGGACCATTTTACAAAAATAAAAATATCAGGTCATTTTGATATTGATGGCAGCAACATGCCTCAAAAAAGTGTGGACAGGACCATGTTTACCATGGTGTAACATCCCCTCTTCTTTTAACAACATTCTGAATGTTTGGGAACAGAGGAGACCAGTTGCTGGAGTTTTGGGAGAGGAATGTTGTCCCATTTTTGTCTGATTTATGATTCTAACAGTGATGGGTCTTCTTTGTCAGATTTTTTGTGTCAAGATCCACCAGATACTTTCAGTTGGTGAAAGGTCTGGACTGCAGGCAGGCCAGTTAAGCACCCGAACTCTTCTGCTATGAAGTCATGCTATAGTCATAGATGAAGTATGCTGTTTAGCATTGTCCTGCTGAAACATGTAAGATCTTTCCTGAAAAAAACTGTAAAACTGCCAAATTCCTGCCCTCGTTGTGTTTAGTTTGTGCGTATCTGCAGTCACTTCACAAAGACATGTGGCCTGTAGAAATGATGATTTAATCACCTTACAGAGCCATTGCACCATTACGCCTTACACCATTGCACAGAAAAAATAGTGGGCAGGAGGCGTGCACCATTTTCAAATAGCACTCTATTTACTACTAGATTCTACTATGATTCCCCTATATAGATCTTTATATCACTAGAGGGGTCACCGGCATGAGGAAGGAGGTCCTGATTCCTCTATATAGATCTTTATATCACTAGAGGGGTCACCGGCAGGAGGAATGAGGTCCGATTCCTCTATATAGATCTTTATATCACTAGAGGGGTCACCGGCATGAGGAAGGAGGTCCTGATTCCTCTATATAGATCTTTATATCACTAGAGGGGTCACCGGCAGAGGAAGGAGGTCCTGATTCCTCTATATAGATCATTATATCACTAGAGGGGTCACCGGCAGGAGGAAGGAGGTCCAGATTCCTCTATATAGATCTTTATATCACTAGAGGGGTCACCGGCAGGAGGAAGGAGATCCTGATTCCTCTATATAGATCATTATATCACTAGAGGGGTCACCGGCAGGAGGAAGGAGGTCCCGATTCCTCTATATAGATCTTTATATCACTAGAGGGATCACCAGCAGGAGGAAGGAGGTCCCGATTCCTCTATATAGATCTTTATATCACTAGAGGGGTCACCAGCAGGAGGTCCTGATTCCTCTAATAGATCTTTATATCCCTAGAGGTCACTGGCAGGAAGAAGGAGGTCCCGATTCCCTATATAGATCTTTATATCACTAGAGGGGTCACCAGCAGGAGGAAGGAGGTCCCGATTCCTCTATATAGATCTTTCTATCACTAGAGGGATCACCAGCAGGAGGAAGGAGGTCCCGATTCCTCTATATAGATCTTTCTATCACTAGAGGGGTCACCGACAGGAGGAAGGAGGTCCCGATTCCTCTATATAGATCTTTATATCACTAGAGGGATCACCATCAGGAGGAAGGAGGTCCCGAGTCCTCTATATAGATTTTTATATCACTAGAGGGGTCACCGGCAGGAGGAAGGAGGTCCCGATTCCGCTGTATAGATCTTTATATCACTAGAGGGGTCACCAGCAGGAGGAAGGAGGTTCCGATTCCTCCATATAGATCTTTATATCACTAGAGGGATCACCAACAGGAGGAAGGAGGTCCCGATTCCTCTATATCAGGGGTGGGCATCTCTGTCCCTCCAGCTGTTGGTGAACTACAAGTCCCATCATGCCTCTGCCTTTGGAAGCCATGCTTGTAACTGTCAATCTTGCAATGCCTCATACTTGTAGTTTGGCAACAGCTGGAGGGCTGCCAGATTGACAGCCATGCTCTATACAGATCTGTGTATCACTAGAGGGGTCACCAACAGGAGGTCCTGATTCCTCTATATAGATCTTTATATCACTAGAGGGGTCACCAGCAGGAGGAAGGAGGTCCTGATTCCTCTATATAGATCTTTATATCACTACAGTGGTCACCGGCAGGAGGAAGGAGGTCCCGATTCCTCTCTATAAAGATCTTTATATCACTAGAGGGATCACCAGCAGGAAAAAGGAGGTCCTGATTCCTCTATATAGATCTTTAGTTGGACCTCATTTAGAATACTGTGTCCAGTTCTGGAGATCTCACTTATAAAAAGATATTGATAAGATAGAACGAGTCCAGAGATGGGTAACAAAAATGGTGAAAGATCTTGGGGAACAAAACATATGAAGAGCGACTTCTGGAACTTGGTACTCAAGTGGTTTCAGCAGAACTAAAGTTGAAAAAAAAAATAAAACGTTGCAAACAGGTAGTCCTTTTATTGCAAAAGAAACATGGAGTGTCTTATAAAACAAACGTACTTGCCTGTCTACAGTCTCCTGCAGAATGTACACGGAGCTGTGCATGTGCAGCTCAGTTTACATTCCCGGAACAGTGTCGCTGTCACTCCCACACATGCGCAAGAATGATGTTCTCCTGTGTTGGTCAATGAAGGTGGCCGAAGACCAGCATTTGGAAGTAGTTGGGGAAAGATGCAATTGCCGGTGAGGGACCTCACTGGCGTTGGACCGTTGGAAAAGAGGTAAGTATTTTTGGGGTTTTATATCTGCTTTAATCGGCAGTATCAACATAATAGGTGGATTGTATTTTTTTTTTTCTTTTTATTATGGAAGTGTGTTGTTTTATGACGGTCACTGTACTTTGCACTAAGAATTTCTCCTTGTACAGGGTACAGGCCGACCGGAAAATCTTTTTACACCTTCAAGCTTCCTCTGGTCCATTACCCTCTGCTGCGACAATGCGTTCAGACATATTATACGGACCTGAACAATTTCCTCAGTAAGGAGATTGTCTGTCTTCCTCCGGAGAACTCGGCTCTCCTGGCCCGATACTTCTACCTCCGGGGTCTGGTCTTCCTCATGCAGGGAAAACTCCTCAGCGCTCTGTCCGACTTCCAGAACTTGTATAAGACGGACCTGCGGATCTTCCCCGCCGAATTAGTCAGAAAAGTCGTGTTGTCACTGCCGGCGTCTGAGCGCCAACAAGCCGAGAACCGGCAGGAACTGAAGAGGCTGATCAGCCAGGTGCTGGACAAGGAGAGGGATGTCCCCAGGGTTGACGACCACGTCAAGAAGTTCGAGCTGCCCAGGACCCACCTGCATCTGGAGGACTTTGTACGCCGGATCCAAGAGTCCGGGATTGTGAAAGACATCGACACCATACACCGCTTGTTTGACGCTCTAACTGTCGGTAAGGAACAGAGCAGCATTCCTCCTAGTATTCTTAAAGTTCAAATGTATTCTGCCTATTTGTTGCATTCCTTGGTTCCTCCCTCATTGCCATGCCAAATACATTTTTAATAAGATAGAAGTGTTGCGCTGCTAACGAAAGACTGTGAATATACAAACAAAAACGTGATTAATGTTCCCAAAAGGTGATGAAAAATAATTAATAAATAGAATTCTTCCAAAAATACAAATGAGTGAAATATATATTCCTGCTGGTGATTGCACCCAAATTCCCAGTGCTGTAAATCTTCAATAAACAGTGAACATACACTTCCAGGTGGACTTTCACCTTCTCACATGGACCTGTATGTGAACACAGGTCAGAAAAGCATCTCCCCTATTAGTGGGGGTAACACAAGGCTTTATTGTGATGAATGGTGAAGCGCTACCAAAAACCATCTCATAAAATGGAAAATGGCAACATATATAAAAGAACATAAAATGGTAATCACATCACATGTTAAAAACTGTACAATATACCACTCAGTGTACTGATCCGATTGGATTTAATAAAGTACAACTAAAGTGAAACAGGTGGAACCTGTAGCTAAGAAAAGTGGACCCTTTTTGCTGACGGAAAAAATCAAACTCCCCCTGTCCACATAGGGGACTTGTAGTGAATACTGCGTGACCCCTTGGGGGGTGGAGGACACAAGTCAATGTGTCGGGGTCTCGGCGCAGGCGCAGTGCAGCGCCCTGTGCAGGGCGGGCCGACCGCGGCGATCGAGCTCGCGCATGCGCAGTAGAGGCCGCGGCCACGTGCCTGGCACCAATGACAGCGCAGGGCGGGATATTTAAATGCTCCTGAGTTGTCATTCAGTGCCTTCTGGCCGTATCCTGTATTGCGAACCTGTTTCTTATAAGTCTCTGACCCGGATTGTGCCTGACCCTGCTGTATTCTCCTGCCCAGACCCTTGCTTTGCCTGACCTCTCTCCTGGATGCCCCATATTGGACCTGACCTGCTGTTGATGACCTGGCGTGTGACCCGACTATTCTCTGCCGCTGCTTTGTACCCCACCGTCCCCATAGTTACCGACCCGGCCTGCCTGACTTTGCACTTGCTCAGCCATCCATCCATCCATCCCTCTCAACGGGGTCTCCAGACCTCCTCATATCAGGCTCTGTCCTGTGGGAGCCCCTGGCGAATACCCCTACCACTGATGGGTATCCTCAGTAGTCACGGCCTGGTCCCGGGGTACTCAAAGTCCATCCCCACCATCAGGGGCCCTGGTGAACAAGTACTCTGGGGCTTAGACTCCGTGCGCTGGGGACGCCTGATCAGTGGAATGCTAGTGGTGTCGCCGGGCGGTCCCTTACACAATGTGACCCGTGTCAGTTGTGAATAAATCAAAGTCCAACACTCAGACACATGCATTAATCAGTATAAATGTCCAAAGACACAAAGGCTAATAACTGCAAGCCAACACACTGGTGCTCTTGATAAGGTGGTCTTCACTTAGGTGACAGGAATCCTAAATGGCAGAAATGCCCCCTCACCTCCAAACATTGACCACAAGGGCCAGCTCGCCTTATGGATCTCACCACGATCCCAGGAAACAGAACACGTCCTCCGGGCAGAGATGTTGCTTAAGATCCTTCCCAATATCACTCTCAGGTCACATTCCCATCAGGACCATGTTGTTCAAAACATAAGCAAAAACATCCTCCACAGTGCAATTTGTTTATTCAAAAAACAAGTGATAGAAGATAAAATGGCCCACTCACATTACATGCTTGATAAAATCGCTTTTTCACCACATAATTTGGGTGTACTGCATGGGACTGTGAGAATGTCCAATATGGCGTCCAACCGGAAGTGCGTCACCGGAAATGGCGTACCGACGCGTTGCGTCACGATATCACGTGACTTCCTCAGGGTGTAGCTTGCTCCTCTGTGGGCAATCTTCCCCTTATGAATCACCGCTGAACCTTCACATATGGCACCTGATTTCAGTACAGCCGGCTCTGTGGATAAAGCTTGACAACCACAAAGAAGACCATAGTGCAGTATGCTTCTTTAAAAGGCATACGCTCCTTCAGCGTTACCTATAATGCTACCACCTCCCCCTCACTCCCCCTCTCTGTTGGGGTCCCTCAAGGCTCTGTCCTTGGACCCCTTCTCTTCTCCATCTACACCTCCTCCCTTGGCCAACTCATACACTCTCACGGCTTCAACTACCACCTCTATGCCGACGACACACAAATCTATCTCTCAACCCCCTACCTCACCCCCTCGGTCTCCGCCCGAATCACACACCTACTGAGTGACATATCAGATTGGATGTCGCTCCACCTCCTTAACCACTTGCCTACCGGGCACTTATACCCCCTTCCTTACCAGGCCAATTTTCAGCTTTCAGCGCTGCCGCACTTTGATTGACAATTGCGCGGTCATGCAACATTGTACCCATATGAAATTTTGATCATTTTTTTTCTCACAAATAGAGCTTTCTTTTGGTGGTATTTAATCACCACTGGGCGCTTTACTTTTTGCGCTATAAATTAAAAAAAGTGCAAAAAATTTGAAAAAAAAAAAAAGTTTATTTGTTTCTTTTATAAAATTTTTCAAACAGGTATTTTTTTCTCCTTCACTGATTTGCGTTGATGAGGCGGCACTGATGGGCACTGATAGGCGGCACTGATGGGCACTGATAGGCAGCACTAAAGGGCACTGATAGGCAGTACTAATGAGGTGGCACGGATAGGCGGCACTGATAGACAGCACTAATTAGGGGTCACGGATAGGCGGCACTGATATGCAGCACTGATAGGCGGCACTGATAGGTGACACTGATGATGGGTACTGATAGACGGCACTGACTGGCCATCACTTCTGGGCACTGACTGGCGGCACTGACTGGCACAACCCCTGGGCACTGACTGGTGGCACTGACTGGCAGCACTGGTGGGTGGCACTGGTGGGTGGCACTGGTGGACAGCACTGGTGGGTGGGCACATGTGGGTGGCACTGGTGGGCACAGGTGGGTGGCACTGGTGGGCACAGGTGGGTGGCACTGCTGGGCACATGTAGGTGGCACTTCTGGGCACAGGTAGGTGGCACATTGCAGAGTGGCACAGGTGGGGGCACTGCTGGGCACAGGTGGGGGCACTGCTGGGAATGGGTGGGCGGGGCTAGTGGGCGCACTGCTGAGCGGAAATGCGAGGGTCACTGCTGGGCACCGATCATCAGGGCACTGATCATCAGTGCCCTGATGATCGGTGCCGATCCCCGCTCTGACAACTGCCGGTTCTCGGGCAGTACTTTCCTCACGATCTGACAGCGTGAGGAAAGTGCAGCCGAGAACCGGCACTTGCATTTTCCTGTGATCAGCGTGTCATTGGACACCGCTGATCACGTGGTAAAAGGCCGGTGGGATCGGCCTTTCACCACATCTCGTGATCAGCTGTGTCCGTAGGACACAGCGATCACGGAGATCGCCGGGTGCGCGCCCCCTGGGGCGCGCAGGAGAGCGCGTTCTGGGAGGACGTCATATGACGTCCACTCAGAACTGGCCGGCCGCGGTGAAGCCGTCTTTCGGCTATGCGCGGTCGGCAAGTGGTTAAACTGAACCTCTCCAAAACCGAGTTTCTTGTCTTCCCCCCCAGCCTGGACCCCACCCCCCATTGACTTCTCCATCATGTCCAACAACGCCACCATCAAACCCGCCCCGCAGGCCAGAGTACTTGGTGTCATTCTGGACTCCAACCTATCCTTCCAGCCCCAAGTCCAATCACTAACAAACTCGTGCAGACTCCACCTCCTCAACATCGCCAAAATCCGCACGTTCCTAACCCCAGAAACCACTAAACAGCTCATCCACTCCCTCATCATATCAAGACTCGACTACTGCAACTCCCTCCTCACTGGCCTGCCTCGCCGCTGGCTATCCCCGCTTCAGTCCATCCTGATTACGGCTGCCAGACTCATCACCTTTCCAACCGCTCCATCTCCGCCACCCCCCTCTGCCAATCCCTCCACTGGCGTCCGATTGCCCAACGGATCAAATTCAAAATCCTAACACTGACGTACAAAGCTGTCCACCATACTGCCCCGAACTACATCACTGACCTAATATCCAAGTACCACCCAACACGCACACTCCGCTCCTCACAAGACCTCCTTCTCTCTAGGTCCCTGATCTCCTCCTCCCATGCCCGCCTCCAGGACTTCTCCAGGGTGTCACCCATCCTCTGGAACTCCCTGCTCCAGATTATCACCTACTCTCCTCTCCTTTAGGCGCACCCTGAAAACCCATCTCTTCAGGGAAGCCTACCCCACCCCCGCTAACTTGCCGACCTCCTCCACTCTTCCTACCACCCCATCCCCCACAGCTATCTCCTCCTGTACCACTATCCCCTCCCTCCTAGATTGTAAGCTCGAAAGAGAAGGGTCCTCGATCCCCTCATGTTTTGCATTGTATTGGTATTGTTCTGTCACACGTTCTGTCCCCCTTTGTAATGTACAGTGCTGAGCGAACTATCGGTGCTTTATAAATACTGTATAATAATAATAATATTGTTTAATAAGGCATATGAAGTCACATGGTAACTGTATCAAAAAACACATTAAAACAACTGTCAACGTAATCAAAGGAGAGCAAAATCCTGCCTGTCAGATCGGCGTTGGAGCGCTGACATCATCCGACTCTTCCCCACGCGTATCATCACACACCACATGACTTCATCAGGGGTAGCCAAAGGTGAAGTCACGTGGTGCGTGACGATACGCGTGGGGAGGAGTCGTATGATGTCAGCACTCCAACGCCGATCTGACAGGCAGGATTTTGCTCTCCTTTGTGCTGACCGTTGTTTTAATGTGTTTTTTGACACAGTTACCATGTGACTTCATATGCCTTATTAAACGATATGCCTTTTAACCCCTTCATGCCTAAGGGTAAAACAAATCTAAATGCCTAAGCACAATTTTGCAACGTTGACATGTGTTAGTAAAACCGTCCATATCATCACAACTACTTTGTACATCCAGGTGAATTATATCACGTTTTTTTCAGGACAAATTGGGCTTTCATTTGGTGGTAAATGGTAATGGATATCTCCTGATTTGTTTTCTTATTATCAAAGGAAAACTGGCCCAAAATACTAAAAAAAATGTAATTGTTTTGTAATTTAGCTGTGTGTATCTTGTTACGACCATAACCTACCACCAAAGAACAACCCAAAATACATTCTCCAGCTCTTGATGATCGCAGCGATACCATATATGTGTATGTTATTTGTTGTTTGTACCCGGACTACAGCCCAGAAACAATAGCGTTCATTTTGTTTTCGTTTTTTTTTGTTTTTTTTTTTGTTTACCTAAAACACACTGATACCAATTTTTTTTTTTCAATCCTGACCTTTGACCTTTGACCCTGACCCAAACACTTACCCTGACACTGAACTAGATCAAACCTTAAGCTATGTATTTTTCTTTATTTTTTATTTTATTTTTTTAATATTTATTTATTTTTTACAAACATTTTTTTTTCCCTTCTATGCCAGGATTTGGATTTTTTGAACAATTCTCTTTATTACTTATTTTTCATCACCTTTTGGGACTATTAGTCACGTTTTTGTTTGTATATTCATTGTCTTTTGTCAGCAGCACAACACTTTTTCACACATCTTTTTCACTTTGTTTTTTATGTTTGCGTACATAACATGTATCTGCAGCAGCTCTTTACTCAGTATTCATCTAGTGATTTGGCTGCACACAATTTTTTTATTTTTTTTTTTTATTTCCAATAAACCTTTCCATTTTTATTACCTTATCTCAGACCCAAAGATGTCATCACTGGGTCTCTGTGCTCCTCTATAGCATGCAGAAAACTCATGCCTGGGGAGGAGGGGACAACAGGGTGCTGTACATGGCTTTCAAAAGACATCACAACCCCCTGGCCTCAGTACTCCGCCCCTGATCAGGACTGAGGGCTCTTGAGAGGACTGAAAACTCATGGGGCCCGGCAATAGGGGATCATGGGGCCCCTGTGTCCTTGCCCAAACTCAAAAAAGCCTATGAAAAAGGTACCAGGGGCATCTCATGGGGCCCCCTACTGACCCCGGGCCCTCGGGCAGTGCCCGAGTTTCCAAATGGTCAGTCCGCACCTGTTCCTGATGCAAGCAAGCAGTGGCCTGGCTTTTGGGAGGAGTTGTGTAGATATCAGAATACATTTATGGTGGTTGTCAGTCTGGGGGAGCGGGTTTTCCTTGGCAAAATATCTTTTCATGCACCACCCTGGGTAACATCCACATGTGGTGCTGAGCCTCCATGGTTGACCTAATTGAAATCCAATGAATGAAATGGGCGTCCCAGGGACAATCAGGCTGGGGAGGAAGGGGCTAGATTCTCCAGCCAGGAAATGAGGAGCTCTATGTGACTTGCTGCAGCTTCTAATGCACATGGTGAGAAGCTCGCAGTGTGCGGTGAATTCAGAGGAAGCCGCTTCAGTCCAGGAGAGGAGCCGATACAATGGTGCAAGGCTGAAGGGAAGGCTGGAGTTCACCTGTAAAGTCTACGTAAACCCAATTTTGTAACTTCTTTGCGTGCAGCAGGGAAGGGTTAGAACCCCTGTCACGTTTTTATTGCTACATTGTCCCCTGCTAAGGGAGATTCATCTTCATTTGTCCTGAATTTTGAGATGTCAGCAAAACAGGAATAGAAGGAAAATCTTCCAATGGAGACACTAGCTCTGTTGAAAACTCTAGAGAGATTTCCTCTGCTTTGTCTCCAGGACAGGAAGTGAAGGTAAATGTCCCCAGATACAGATGGCGCACAATGTGAAAGGGGTTCTGACCCAACCTGTTTCCGCATGACTGACCATTTCCAATGTGCCTGTCCCCCTGAAGGTCACCAGAAGCAGATAGACCCGGATATCTTCAAGGATTTCTACAACTGCTGGAAGGAGACGGAGGCAGAAGCCGAGGAGGTTGACCTGCCATCCATAGTCACCGAGAGGCTGGATCAGAATGAATTTGTGTACAAGCTGTCCAGTTCGGTGAAAACCAACCTGGGGGTGGGGAAGATCGCCATGACCCAGAAGAGACTCTTCCTTCTGATCGAGGGCAGGCAGAGCTACGAGGAAATCTCCATATTTAGGAACATAGAGGTGAGAGCTGACTGACGGGACGGATATGTTTTTATGCCATGTAAAGCATCTGGTGACATAATGTTTTTGGAGGAAGGGGGATACATTTTGCTGGGAGGGGGGTGTTGGCGACCCCTGTAACAGGTTTACTCCTCTCTAGCTCCCTCATCACCTCCTCCCATGCTCGCCTCCAGGACTTCTCCAGAGCCTCTCCCATCCTCTGGAACTCCCTACCACAGTATGTCTGGTCAGCCCCCACTCTGTCTGCCTTTAGGCGATCTTTGAAAACTCACTTCTTCAGGGAATTTAACCAGTACAGTAGTCGTCCGAAAATACAATAACAAATACATTCTTCAGAATTTTTATTCCGTTTATTTTATTGAGATTAGCATGCAGAAAAAAACGGTCGATCATTCGCTCTATATTCTAAATTTGTATACAGGGCATTAGGCTCCATGCACACTAGCGGCTTTTTTAAGCTCCTAGAAGCTGTTATCGTCATTTTTTTTTTTCTGCTCCTAGAAGCTAAGTAGTGTTATTAGGGATGCACCGAAATTTAGATGGACAAAAACACCGTTTTTGGTTCTCGGCCAATATGAAAAAAAAAGCACCGATACAGGTGCCGAAAAAACCCTCCCCTCGCCGGCATCCCTGCCGCTGCCGACACCGGCCGGCCGCCGTTCGGTAGTTCTCAGCCTTAACTGAGAAACCATCGAACAATCCCGGCGCTGGGCATAGAGATGAGTGAAGGTAAGATGTCCTCCACTCATCTCTATGCCCTTGGAGGACTGGAGCGATGTCACTTCCGGTTCCGGCCATTTTTTTTAAAGCACTAGATCAATGTTTTTTTTTTTTTTAATCTAATGCTTTACATAGCAGAGGAGAGATGTCGGGTCTTATTGACCTCTTATCTCTCCATAAAGAGGACCTGTCACTAATTATGTCTTATTGACCCCGTATCTCTCCATAAAGAGGACCTGTCACTAATTATGTCTCATTGACCCCGTATCTCTCCATAAAGAGGACCTGTCACTAATTATGTCTCATTGACCCCGTATCTCTCCATAAAGAGGACCTGTCACTAATTATGTCTCATTGACCCCGTATCTCTCCATAAAGAGGACCTGTCACTAATTATGTCTTATTGACCCCTTATCTCTCCATAAAGAGGACCTGTCACTAATTATGTCTTATTGACCCCGTATCTCTCCATAAAGAGGACCTGTCACTAATTATGTCTTATTGACCTCGTATCTCTCCATAAAGAGGACCTGTCACTAATTATGTCTTATTGACCCCGTATCTCTCCATAAAGAGGACCTGTCACTAATTATGTCTTATTGACCTCGTATCTCTCCATAAAGAGGACCTGTCACTAATTATGTCTTATTGACCTCGTATCTCTCCATAAAGAGGACCTGTCACTAATTATGTCTCATTGACCCCGTATCTCTCCATAAAGAGGACCTGTCACTAATTATGTCTCATTGACCCCGTATCTCTCCATAAAGAGGACCTGTCACTAATTATGTCTCATTGACCCCGTATCTCTCCATAAAGAGGACCTGTCACTAATTATGTCTTATTGACCCTTATCTCTCCATAAAGAGGACCTGTCACTAATTATGTCTTATTGACCCCGTATCTCTCATAAAGAGGACCTGTCACTAATTATGTCTTATTGACCCCGTATCTCTCCATAAAGAGGACCTGTCACTAATTATGTCTCATTGACCCCCCATATCTCTCCATAAAGAGGACCTGTCACTAATTATGTCTCATTGACCCCGTATCTCTCCATAAAGAGGACCTGTCACTAATTATGTCTCATTGACCCCGTATCTCTCCATAAAGAGGACCTGTCACTAATTATGTCTCATTGACCTCGTATCTCTCCATAAAGAGGACCTGTCACTAATTAGGTCTTATTGACCCCGTATCTCTCCATAAAGAGGACCTGTCACTAATTATGTCTCATTGACCCCGTATCTCTCCATAAAGAGGACCTGTCACTAATTATGTCTCATTGACCCTCGTATCTCTCCATAAAGAGGACCTGTCACTAATTAGGTCTTATTGACCTCGTATCTCTCCATAAAGAGGACCTGTCACTAATTATGTCTCATTGACCCCGTATCTCTCCATAAAGAGGACCTGTCACTAATTATGTCTCATTGACCCCGTATCTCTCCATAAAGAGGACCTGTCACTAATTATGTCTTATTGACCCCGTATCTCTCCATAAAGAGGACCTGTCACTAATTATGTCTTATTGACCTCGTATCTCTCCATAAAGAGGACCTGTCACTAATTATGTCTTATTGACCCCGTATCTCTCCATAAAGAGGACCTGTCACTAATTATGTCTTATTGACCCCGTATCTCTCCATAAAGAGGACCTGTCACTAAATATGTCTTATTGACCCCGTATCTCTCCATAAAGAGGACCTGTCACTAATTATGTCTTATTGACCTCGTATCTCTCCATAAAGAGGACCTGTCACTAATTATGTCTTATTGACCCCGTATCTCTCCATAAAGAGGACCTGTCACTAATTATTTCTATCACAAGGGATGCATGCATTTCTTGCGATAAGAATAAAAAGCGATTAACATTAGTTTTAAAGGGACAGTGCAAAAAAACAAAACCATTAAATGTAAAAAAAAAAAGTTTAAAGTGCCCCTGTCCCCCTATGCTCACACGTAGTGGTGAACGCATACATAGGCCATGCCCACATATGTAAATGGTTTTCTACACATGTGAGGTATCGCCACGAACGTCCGAGCAAGAGCAATAATTCTCTCACTAGACCTCCTCTGTAACTTTATACTGCTCTCCTGTAGAAATTTTTAAAGCATCACCCATGGAGATTTTTACGTATCGCAGTTTCACGCCATTGCACAAGCGTGCACAATTTTAAAGCGTGACATGTTGGGTATCTATTTACTCGCCTTAACTTCCCCTTTAATGTTTTACAAAACAATTCAGGTATGTGTGTGTATACAGATAGATAGATATAGATATATATATATAGATATATATATATATAGATACAGTTGCAAGAAAAAGTATGTGAACCCCTTGGGATTACGTGGAGTTTTGCATGAATTGGGCATACAATGTGCTCTGAACGTCATCTAAGTCACAACAATAGAAGAACACAGTCTGCTGAACATAATACTACACAAACATTAGATGTTGCCATGGTTTAATTGCACATAACATGTAAACATTCACAGTGCAGGGAGGAAAAAGTATGTGAGGCCCTAGCTTAATGACTTCTCCCAGAGCTAATTGGAGCCAGGAGTGAGCCAACCTTGCCTCCAATCAGTGTGATGATATTGGATGTGTTGCTGACAGCTGTCCTGCCCTTAAAAAAACACACACCTGTTTTGGGTTTACTGGTTTCAAGAAGCACTGTCTGATGTGAACCATGCCTCGCAGAAAAGAGCTCTCAGAAGACCTACGATCAAGAATTGTTGACTTGCATGAAGCTGGAAAGGGTTACAAAAGTATCTCCAGAAGCCTTGATGTTCATGTGTCCATGGTAAGACAGACTGTGTACAAATGGAGAAAGTTTAGCACTGTTGCTACTCTCCCTAGGCGTGGTCGTCCTGTAAAAATTACTGCAAGAGCACAGCGCAGAATGCTGCATGAGGTAAAGCAGAATCCCAGAGTGTCAGCTAAAGACCTACAGAAATATCTGGCACATGCTAACATTTTTGTTGACACATCTACAATAAGGAAAACATTAAACAAGAATGGAGTACATGGGAGGACACCACGGAGGAAGCCATTGCTGTCCAAAAAGAATATTGCAGCACGTTTGAAGTTTGCAAAAGAGCACCTGGATGTTCCACAGCACTACTGGCAGAATATACTGTGGACAGATGAAACCAAGATTGAGTTGTTTGGGAAGAACACACAACACTATGTGAGGAGAAAAAAAGGCACAGCACACCAACATCAAAACCTCATCCCCACTGTAAAACATAGTGGAGGGAGCATCATGGTTTGGGGCTGCTTTGCTGCCTCAGGGCCTGGACGGATTGTTGTCATTGATGGGAAAATGAATTCCAGAGTTTATCAAGACATTTTGCAGGAAAACGTACGACCATCTGTCCACCAGCTGAAGCTCCGCAGAGGATGAGTGATGCAACAGGACAATGAGCCAAAGCATACAAGTAATTCAACAAAACAATGGCTGCAACAGCACAGAATACGTCTTCTGGAGTGGCCCAGTCAGAGTCCTGACTTCAAGCCGATTGAAATGCTGTGGCATGACCTTAAGAGAGTGATTCACACCAGACATCCCAAGAATATTGCTACACTGAAACAGTTTTGTGAAGTGGAGTGGTCCAAAATTACTCCAGATCGTTGTGCAGGTCTGATCTGCAACTACAGGAAACGTTTGCTTGAGGTTATTGCTGCCACAGGAGGGTCAACCAGTTATTAAGTCCAAAGGTTCACATACTTTTTCCTCCCTGCACTGTGAATGTTTACATGTTATGTGCAATTAAACCATGGCAACATCTAATGTTTGTGTAGTATTATGTTCAGCAGACTGTGTTCTTCTATTGTTGTGACTTAGATGACGTTCAGAGCACATTTTATGCCCAATTCATGCAAAACTCCACATAATCCCAAGGGGTTCACATACTTTTTCTTGCAACTGTGTATATATATATATATATATATATATATATATATATATATATATATATATATATATAATTCTTATTATTTTTAATTTTTTTTATTTTAATCAATATATTTTTTTTTTCCAAAAAATATATATTCATTTTTAAAAACTGTGCATTTCCTAGTGTTATGCTAGTGTCTAGGTGGAACAGCTGAACAGTGTCTAGGCCGAACAGCTTTTCTCTAGCTTTTTTTTTTTTTTTTCTACATGTACTTTATAAAACGCTAACGCTCCTAAACGCTACTACAAGCTGCGACAAAAACCCTATTGCCAGCATTTTTCATGCAGATCTTTTTTCTAGCGGGTTTTTTTTTTTTTTTTTTTTTTTTGAGCTTCTAAAAAAATGCTAGTGTGCATGGAGCCTTATGAGCACTTTCATGGGACAGGGGATCATGTGTGCACAGGGCTGCTAATCCAAAGTGTTTTCAGGTACTGGGGGCTGGAAGGGGGCGTTTAGGCAATTTACTGATGGAGGAGAACACATGGAGGACCTCTGCAATATGGCGGTGCCATTTTATATTCTAATACACAGGCTGGTAACCCAGGGAATAGCAACAAGAAATTCCATGCAGTGTGGTAGAGAAAATAGGACTTCCAGTTGTGGATGGACAGAATATAATTGGGCAGTAAATATGTGCAGAGGTGTTTCAGTTCTGTATTGTTCAAGTTCTAACTCCGTGTCCTCCGCGTTCTCCAGGATGTAAAGGTCTCCATGTCGGCCTTCCTGCTGTTACGGATCCCAACACTCAGGATTAAGGCTTCCACCAGGAAAGAGACGTTTGATGCCAATTTAAAGGGTGAATGTGACCTGTGGAATCTGATGATCAAAGAGATGTGGGCAGGGAGGAAGATGGCCGACAACCACAAGGTAGGTTGATGAATATTCAATGGAAGTCCTGACTGCCATGTCTGGAGAGACATTTTGTTTTTTCAGACTTGTTCCACTGTGAACATAATGATAGACTCATTCAGTGATTCATTCTAGTGTAGGCTGGCAGAACTTGCTGGGGCCTTTATTGTCAGGATTAGTGTTGGGGTTAGAGGGGCTAGTGTGAGGGCTACAGGAGGCTATGGGACTGTTACAGGGAGAGTTGGTGTGATGGTTACAGGGGGTTAGTGTTAGGATTACAGAGAGGGTTGGTGTTAGGATTACAGGGAGGGCTAGTGTTAGGATTACAGGGAGGGTTAGTGTTAGGATTACATCGAGGGTTAGTGTTAGGGTTTCAGGGAGGTTAGTGTTAGGGTTACAGGAAGGTTTTTGTTTAGGATTACAGGGAGGATTAATGTTAGGATTACAGGGAAGGTTGGTGTTAGGATTACAGGGAGGGTTAGTGTTGGGGTTACAGGGAGGGTTAGTGTTGGGATTACAGGGAAGGTTGGTGTTAGGATTACAGGGAGGGTTAGTGTTGGGGTTACAGGGAGGGTTAGTGTTGGGGTTACAGGGAGGGTTAGTGTTGGGGTTACAGGGAGGGTTAGTGTTGGGGTTACAGGGAGGGTTAGTGTTGGGGTTACAGGGAGGGTTAGTGTTGAGGTTACAGGGAGGGTTAGTGTTAGGGTCACAGAAAGGGTTAGTGTTAGGGTTACAGGAAGGATTAATGTTAGGGTTACAGGAATGATTAGTGTTAGGGTTACAGGGAGGATTAGTGTTGTGGTTACAGGGAGGGTCAGTGTTAGGGTTACGGGAGGGGGGGGACAGTGTTAGGGTTACGGGGAGGATTAGTGTTAGGGTTACAGGGGGGGTTAGTGTTAGGGTTACAGGGAGGATTAGTGTTGTGGTTACAGGGAGGGTCAGTGTTAGGGTTACGGGAGGGTGGGGACAGTGTTAGGGTTACGGGGAGGATAAGTGGTAGGGTTACGGGGAGGATTAGTGTTAGGGTTACGGGGAGGATTAGTGTTAGGGTTACGGGGAGGATTAGTGTTAGGGTTACGGGGAGGATTAGTGTTAGGGTTACGGGGAGGATTAGTGTGTGAGAGGTACAGTAGGAATTGGTGTTAGGGTTACAGGCAGGGTCTGTTTCTCATACTTACTGTAGAACAATACACAGTCACATACATATGATCACATGATTATTCTCTCCAGGATCCTCAGTATGTACAGGAGGCGCTCACCAATGTCCTGCTCATGAACGCTGTGGTTGGAGCTCTCCAGACAACAAAATCCATCTATGCTGCGTCCAAGCTCTCACACTTTGATAGGATGAGGAATGAAGGTGAGTGTTATTATACTGGAACTGTATCATAGGAGGGAAGTTTCTGCCTTCAACAGAAGTCCCTGACTGGGAACAAACGCCTGACTTTACTTGTCACATGCTTCTTCTGTGTTAGTGACTCAGAAAGCGTTAAAGCCGTTGGATGAACATGAGCGCAGCGGCTACTTTTCACAAAGAGGTTTGCAGTGGCAGGCCATGTAGTTCCTTTATTTACAAAAAAAAAAAAAAAAAATCTTAGAGTGTCTAAAAACAAAATGTAACAGCTTAGCAGTCCTTAGATCTGGTGGCTGCATTAGTTTAGTTTTCTCTTTTTAGGCATTTTTTACCTTTATTTTCACCTGATGATCTTGCTAATAAACACACTTCCTGGCCTGGGGGTCAACGGTCACTCACTGTATCTATGGAGGAAGCTATGGTTGTCACACTAGGCTGCTCTCCTGATCTGAACTACAAACGAGTCTTCTTTTCTTCATTTTTATTATCAGTGGGGGTGGTATTGTAGTGTATGTATCTGTTTGCCTGAAATTATGCTGTGCTTTTTTCTTTTTTGTAGTTCCTATGATGATTCCAAAGACCACCTCTGAGACACTGAAACACAGGATAAACCCTTCTGCTGGGGAGACCACAACTCAGTCTGTGGATGTATTGCTCTATACTCCAGGTGAGGCCGTGAATGGGGCATCCACAGTTGCCTGCTTTATCCCCTCCCAGCTGGCATGTTTGTTCTGTAGTCCCTCCCCCACAGAGCAAGAATAATGTTTTCTCTGACAGTTTGAGAACTTTTGAAATGTTCTTTTCTGCTTGGTCATTATTGATACATTGAAGTTCATTTTACAAAGCTAACACACCAGGATAAGGATATTTATTTTCACAACGGTGACAATTCTTTTCATCCAAGTCTCCATAAGATCTAAAAATTACAGCCACATGACTAAATTAGAGAGCCTTATCATAGGGTGTTAAAACTCTGTGATTTTATTTTTTTTTGCTTTTGGTAAATTTGAAGTATTGCATTTAATCACTCCATTTTTATGATTCCGAACTAGATGTTTCTACACGTTTACCGGGCTAATCCTCACTGCTTTACTAAAAAAAAAAGGCCCATTTACAGAGCCAAATAGCTAAAGCCCATATTACACAAACAGCTGAATGAAGAAGAATAATTCACCCCCCATCTCTCTCTGCTCTGTTTGGCTCCATACAAAGTATAAGTGAAAGATAGTCTGAATGTAAACAGCTTCTGCTGTGCTTTTCACTTTTTAAAAAAAAAAACACCAGAAAGCTCTGCAAGATTCATATCATGGATGCACCCTATATTAACTGTTTAATTAAAATATAAGAATTTTGTTTAAAAATGCCTGCTTTATTCAGGACTGCTCAGCGCAGACAACAGGAAGGAGAGGCGGTTTTCTGTTTCCTGAGAGACAAGGAGTCTTCTGACTCCTCTTACATCTATACATCGTTTTCATCTTGTAGTTCTCTTGCTGAATTTAGTACAAATGTCTGTAGGTGACCAAAGGGAAACAGAGTAGAAGTTATTACCGTTTGTATATCATGAGGCTTGGCGCTTTCCCCACCTCTGCCTTAGGCACAGGCCCACATTTGTCATTATGGACATGCCAAGGCTCCCAAAGCCACCACTGGTGCTGCCACCTAGTGTACAGACATGTCGATGTTGTCTTTATGTCCTAAGTGACAGCAGGCACAGACGGTGCGACCCATACGGTGCACCCATACGGTGCAGGCACAGACGGTGCGACCCATACGGTGCAGGCACAGACGGTGCGACCCATACGGTGCAGGCACAGACGGTGCGACCCATACGGTGCAGGCACAGACGGTGCGACCCATACGGTGCAGGCACAGACGGTGCGACCCATACGGTGCAGGCACAGACGGTGCGACCCATACGGTGCAGGCACAGACGGTGCGACCCATACGGTGCAAGCACAGACGGTGCGACCCATACGGTGCAGGCACAGAGGGTGCGACCCATACGGTGCAGGCACAGAGGGTGCGACCCATACGGTGCAGGCACAGACGGTGCGACCCATACGGTGCAGGCACAGACGGTGCGACCCATACGGTGCAGGCACAGACGGTGCGACCCATACGGTGCAGGCACAGACGGTGCGACCCATACGGTGCGGGCACAGACGGTGCGACCCGCACGGTGCGGGCGCAGACGGTGCGACCCGCACGGTGCGGTGCGACCTGTACACTGCAGGCGCAGGCGTTGCAACCCACACAGTGCAAGCACAGATGGTGCGACCAAGACAGTGCGACCCGTACGGGGCAGGCGCAGACGGTGCGACCCGTACGGGGCAGACGCAGACGGTGCAACCCGTACGGGGCAGGCACAGATGATACAGTGCAAGCACAGACGGTGCGACCAAGACAGTGCAACCCGTACGGGGCAGGCACAGATGATACAGTGCAGGCACAGACAGTGTGACCCATACAGGCAATGCCGGTGCAGTAAACCCCTTTCTGTGATAGGCTGTTAGTTTGCAGGTTTTTCGAGTGTGTTTAGCTATCTGTAGTATATTGTGGAAGGTTGGAGTGGCGATCATTGCTTGCCATGGCATTGTGCTGTAGTGAGATGCCTCAGCTCAGGATTTGATGCCAAGTTATCTGCAGAACCGGAACACAAATGTAATGTCTCCTCCTTCTCCCCGCTCATCTGCTGAACTGACCCGAGTCTCTCTCTGCAGGGCAGCTGGACAAGTCTGGTTGGGATGACTCCCCTAAGCTGTGGTGCGCTCTGGGGGAGGGGAAAGTGGTTGTGTTTAATGCCTCCACCTGGTCCATCCAGCAACATTGCCTGAAAGTGGGAAAGGCTAAACTGGTAAGCTTTGTGTTGGAGGTGCTCATACCCAACTGCAGCCAAATCATTTTTGAGAGGGAGGGGGGAAGGGATAGGACCTCTGTCAGATTTTTATGTCTTCCTATGCTGACCAGAGGCACAGTAATGAGATTTTACCTCGTTTCCTGTCCTGCTGATGGGAAGTCAAACACACGTCAACATGTATGTGTCCTGTATGGGCTAGCCGGTTGTGCACAAGTTGATCTATCGATCGACTGCTGTACAACCAGCCTGTTGGGTTTTCCTGAATGATCAGTGCCGCTGGCTATAGCCGACAACACTGATCGCTGTGTTTTGCTAGAGAGGAAGGCTCCCCGCTGGCAGAATACAATAGCACAGCACATCAAGTGTGTGAACGAGGGAATCGGGGAATCACTTATGGCCTGGCACATTTCATTATGAATGGGCTGTCAATGCATCATGACGGATATAAAAAAAAAAGTGCATTAATTTTTCTTCAAACTGAAGCGCACCACAATGCATGCTATAAGTGGTGTGATGCATTGTGGTTGGGGCTGTAATGTATAATGTTGTTAGGGGCCCATTCACAATGAATAGTGCTGCCCATAGAATAGGTGCGTTTTCATGCATTGTGATAACGAGTGTGAAGTGTGAGTGGGCCCTGGAGAAAAAAAAAGTTTTTGGCTTGATATATATATATTTCAATGGACATACATGTCAGATTAGGCCTTATTCACATGGCCAAATCAGCAGTAGCATGAAAAACTGCACCCGGGAGCCCTGCTGTGTTTGGACAGATGTGACTGGGAAGCCTGTACAAAGCATGGACAAGTGGACAGTGGATGTTGCTGTCCGCCAGCTTTTGGGAGTAATTGCACAGGGAGCGATTACCTGAATTCAGGGAAAGATGGTTGTCCCTGGATGGAAATAGCTTGCATCCATAGAAAACCATCTGTCCCTAACCTCAGGAAATATATGAATTTATATATATATGTGTGTGTGTGTGTGTGTGTGTGTGTATATATATATATATATATATATATATATATATATATATATATATATATATAAAAATAATGTGTGTGTGTGTGTGTGTGTAAAATTAGTATTGAACACATCAAAGTGCTACTGACATGAAATTTTCCCCACATGTCGGTAACAACCAATGCAATCCATACATACAACGAAAACCAAAATAAATCAGTCTAGAAATTAAATTATGTGTAATAAAATGGAATGACACAGAGAAAAAGTATTGAACACATGAAGAAAGGGAGATACAAAAAGGCACGGAAAGCCAAGACACCAGCTGAAATCCTATCAGTAATTAGAAAGCAATCCTACCCCTTGTTGCTGCAAATTAATATCAGCCTAAAAAAGGTGTCTCATTACCAAGGTGTCACAGGAGAAACATCTCATGATGGGTAAAAGCAAAGGGCTCTCTCAAGACCTTCAAAACCTTATTGTTGCAAAACATACTGATGGCATTGGTTACAGAAAGATTTCTAAACTTTTGAATGTTCCATGTGAGCACTGTTGGGGCCAAAATCTGGAAGTAGATAGAACATAATTTTATCATAAACTGGCCACAACCAGCTGCTCCTCGCAAGATTTCTGACAGAAGAGTAAAAAGAATTATCAGAAGAGTTGTCCAAGAGCCAAGGACCACTTGTGGAGAGCTTCAGAAAGACCTGGAATTAGCAGGTACAATTGTTTCAAAGAAAACAATAAGTAATGCCTCACCCCAATGGCCTGTATGCACGTCACCACGCAAGACTCCATTGCTGAAGAAAACACATGTTGAAGCTTGTTTAACCACTTGCCCTCCAGAAGATTTCCCCCCTTCCTGACCAGACCATTTTTTGCAATACGGCGCTGCCTTACTTTAACTGACAAATTGAGCTTTCTTTCGGTGGTATTTGATCGCCTATGCATTTATTTTTTGCGCTATAAACAAAGAGACCGACAATTTTGAGGATAAAAAAAAACAATATTTTTGACTTTTTGCTATTAAACATATCCAATAAAAATGTTTGTCATAAATTTAGGCCAAAATGTATTCTGCTCCATGTCTTTGCTAAAACAAATCCCAATACGTGTAAATTAATTGGTTTACGCAAAAGTTATAGCGTCTACAAATGGCGGTATAGATACTGGAATATTTATTTATTTTTACTAGTAATGGCGGCGATCAGAGACTTATAGCGGGACTGACACTGGGAGGAACTGACTTGATGTGACTGACATCCCCAGTGACACCAATACAGTGATGGGTGCTAATAAAAAGCAGTGACACTGTACTAATAGCACTGTGGAGTAAGGGGGTTAACATCTGGGGCAATCAAAGGGTTAACTGTGTGCTGTTTTGCTGTATGTGTGCTTTACACTGAGCACACTGCTTTGTATGGCTCTGCTATGCAGAGCCATACAAAGCAGCGTGCAGGAGCTGACAAAGATGAGATCTGTGTTTTTTATACATATGTCTCTCCCCCGTCGGAGATACTCGACAATTGCTGGGTGCCGGCAGGGAATCGTCCGGTCAAATGGCCTGACCCAGAACTGCACAATCACGTGTGTGTGTGTATGTATATATATATATATATATATTTTGTGCAGCAAACACAAAGCCAAGGAAACTCTCAATTGGTTTCAAAGAAAGAAGATAAAGTTGCTAGAATGGCCCAGCCAATCACCTGACTTGAATCGAATAGAAAATCTATGGCAAGAACTAAAGATCAGAGTTCATAGAGAAGGCCCACTGAAGTGTGGAAGAATGGGCCACAATCACACCTGAACCATGCATGCCACTCATTTCTCCATACAGGAGGCATCTTGGAGCTGTCATTACCAACAAAGGATTTTGTACCAAGTATTACATAAATTTCAGTTAGCGTGTTCAATACTTTTTCCCTGAGTCATTCCATTTTATTACACATAACTTAGTTTCTGAACTTATATCTTTCTTTTCTTTTATATGTATGGATCGCTTGGGTTGTTGCCGACATGTGGGAAACATTTCATGTCAATAGCACCTTTTAGAAAAATATTTACTGAGGAAAATGGTGGTGTGTTCAATACATATTTTACCCGCTGTATATATTTTTTTCAATGTCTGACATTTAACACTGTTTCTCCCTCTAGAGGTGCATGGTGGGAGTGGATTCAACTCACGTGTGGATCGGATCGAGTGATTCCACGATTTACATCATCAACATTCACAGTATGTCCTGTAACAAGCAGCTAAGTGACCACCGGGACGAGGTAGTAGACATTGTTAGCGACACCAGCGATGTTCAGAAGAGGTAAGAAATGAGTCTCCAGACAGCTGGAGAAGGAACTCTTCAGGGTATTGAACCTTAGTTCAAATGGATCTACAGCCAAAGCATACAGCGTGGAAGTCTAGTGTATACAATGAATGTTGGGACGTGGCACGAGGAATTTATCACTGGTTTTCATAGCACCACCCTATGGGAACACCTCAAACTATAGAATACAGTGTGGAAGGGTTAGACCCTCTGTCAGGTTGTCTTTTGCCAGGAGTGTCACCCCTTCTAATGGTCCATTGCCAATGAGACGGGAAGGTGAGCGAATACTAAATATTAAACTTGTTACCAGAGAAAATGTAAGGGGAACGCCTTTCAATGGTGACATTTTTTTCCAGCAACATCTTATCTAAGGGGGACTGATTCCTCTCACGTCTTGTGTCTCCAGTCCAGAGAGTGAAGGGAAATCTCCCCAATGGTTTCAGACAACAATAGAAAACCTGACAGAGGGGTTCAAACCCCTTCTAGTCCATATCCAAAATGAAATTTGTAGGGGTGCACCGAAATTTCGGTGGGCAAAGCGTTTTGGCCGAAAAGCCGTTGGCCAATATGAAAAAAAGCATCGATACAGGTGCTGAAAAAACCCTGCCCCCTCGCTGCTGCCGCCCTCTTCAGCCACCGCTCAGTAGTTCTCAGCCTTACCTGAGAAACCATCGAACGATCCCGGCGCTGGGCATAGAGATGGGTGAAGGTAAGATGGCCTCCACTCATCTCTATTCCCTTGGAGGACCGGAGCGATGTCACTTCCAGTTTTTGTTTGTTAAAGCACTAGAGCAATCCTTTTTTTTGATCTAATGCTTTACATTGCAGAGGAGAGATGTGGGGTCCTATTGACCCCATATTTCTCCATAAAGAGGACCTGTCACTAATTATGTCTATCACAACGGATGCAAAGCACAGTCATTTTTTTTTTTTTACATGTTTATTGCAAAAAACTATACTACCATTACCTTGCATTCTGGTCCACTTCCCTTCTGTTCCAAGCAGCCTTCTTCACTAAGGGCAGAGCCGTGGATAAGGGGTAACGCCAGTCCTCCTGTACAGGGCCCCAGGCCAGTAGGGAAGGGGGGGGGGGGCAGGCACTGTATGGCTTTCTCTGCAGCAGCTGAAAGCTGACTTCCTCTTCCTCTCGTTGGTTTTCAGCTGCTGCAGAGAAGAACCATACAGGGGATCCGTTCTGTAATTTGCCCCCCTGCCGCACCCATTACCCTCCCTGTGCACCATGCATTTTCCCCTGTTGCCCACACCCCCACAGTGCTGCTGGCTTCTTTCCTCTCCTTCTCACCGGCAGCTGCAAGCACACAATAGGGTCCTTCAGGATGGAGCCCTTCCTTTTCTAAATGAACACAATGAGTGATTGGTACCGATCCCTCACTGTGTCCATTCATAACTGAAGCGTAGTAAACTTCTTTGTTTGGGGGGGGAAGGGAAGTTGTCAGTTGGCTGTATGTGGTCCCATGGTTTCTAACAGCAGCCCTGACTAAGGGCATACGGCAGCTGCAAGCACACAATAGGGTCCTTCAGGATGGAGCCCCTTCCTTTTCTAAATGAACACAATGAGTGATTGGTAACGATCCATCACTGTGTCCATTCATAACTGAAGCATAGTAAACTTTTTTGTTGGGGGGAGGGGGGGGGGGGTGTGTTGTCATGTTGGCTGTATGGGGTCCCATGGTTTCTAACAGCAGCCCTGACTAAGGGCATCTAATGATGCCCTTACCGGCAGCTGCAAGCACACAATAGGGTCCTTCAGGATGGAGCCCTTCCTTTTCTAAATGAACACAATGAGTGATTGGTAACGATCCCTCACTGTGTCCATTCATAACTGAAGCATAGTAAACTTTTTTGTTGGGGGGGGGTGTGTTGTCATGTTGGCTGTATGGGGTCCCATGGTTTCTAACAGCAGCCCTGACTAAGGGCATCTAATGATGCCCTTACCGGCAGCTGCAAGCACACAATAGGGTCCTTCAGGATGGAGCCCCTTCCTTTTCTAAATGAACACAATGAGTGATTGGTAACGATCCCTCACTGTGTTCATTCATAACTGAAGCATAGTAAACTTCTTTGGTGGGGGGGGGGGGTGTTGTCAGGTTGGCTGTATGGGGCCCCATGGTTTCTGACAGCAGCCCTGACTAAGGCAATCTAATGATCTGCTGCTTCCTTATTGATGACATGCTGCCAGTACTACGCCCGCACCCCCGTGCTCTGTTCCTGGAATCCTATTGTTTACACTTTGCCAATAGCACAGCAACATGTAAACAATAAGATTTTCCCCAAATTTGCTTCTGATAGGTGGATTCTCCTGCCACTCTAGAAGACATTTCAAGGAGTGATGTCACCTCTTTGTAATTCAATAATTAGTCTGGCGGGCCTGTGGTAGTTCTGAACATGGACCAAGCTCGGGCCCTGATGTGTTGCCTGGCTGTGGAGGGAATAGAGAGGGGAGGACTTGGTACCTTTTTTTCATTATGTACTGAACAAAACACTTTTTTTTTTTTTTTTTTTTTTTGTGCGTGTGCTACGGTATTTCTTTCATAGCTTATGAAACAAAAAATTCTGGGAGACAATGACTGTTGATAAACTTTTATTGCACTGGATACCTTGACAATTGTGTCATACGCTCTTGTGCTATGGTTTTTCCTTGGCTTTTTGCTCGAATATATCATTTCGCACTACTTGCTGAATAGTGCGATGTGACGTAACTTTTTTGGATTCTGGCCAAAAAAACTTTTTGAGAAAAAAACCCTCAAGATTTCCTGGCTAGTACGCTGAGTGCACATGTGCGGGATTGGTGTGGTGCTAGCCAGGGAGTTATTTTCATGTTTTTATGCTTTCTTTGTTAGCAATATGTAAGGGAGAACAGTGTTATACAGGAGATTCATTCTGTGTTTTCACTGTTATTATTATACAGGATTTATATTGCGCCAACAGTTTGCGCTTTACAATATAAGGGAGACAGTACAATTACAATACAGTTCAGTACAGAAGGAATAGGAGGGCCCGGCTCGTGGAGCTTACAATCTACAGGGAGGGGAGATGCATGTTATTATGTAGTCCCACCCCTTATATACAGTTGTGTTCAGAATAATAGCAGTGTGTTGAAAAAAGTGAATAAAGCTGAAAATCCTTCTAATAGCTTTTATTTCCATCCACACAAATGCATTGGGAACACGACACATTCTATTCCAAATCAAAACATGAAGAAAAATACATCAAATTTGTGTTGTTCCTCTAAAAAAAATGGAAGAAAAGTGAATATTAGACGGTTCAAAAAAATCGCAGTGTTTGTATTCTTCTTTACAAACTCAAACATTCGCTATATAAACTGAGAAATGTTTGAAGATTTTGCTTTCCTTTGAATGACTTCATTAATATTTGGTTGTAGTCGCACTGTTTCTGAGAACTGCTGTACATCTGTGTTGCATGGAGTCACCCAACTTCTGGCCCCTGTGATCAGGTATTCCAGCCCAAGATGATTGGACCACATTCCACAGTTCTTCTCTATTTCTTGGTTTTGCCTCAGAAACTGCATTTTTGATGTCACCCCACAAGTTTTCTATTGGATGAAGATCCGGGGATTGGGCTGGCCACTCCATAACGTCCATCTTGTTGGTCTGGAACCAAGATGTTGCACGTTTACTGGTGTGTTTGGGGTCGTTGTCTTGTTGGAACACCCATTTCAAGGGCATTTCCTCTTCAGCATAAGGCAGCATGACCTCTTCAAGTATTCTGATGTATTCAAACTGATCCATGATCCCTGGTATGCGATAAATAGGACCAACACCGTAGTATGAGAAAACATCCCCATATCATGATGCTTGCACCACCATGCTTCACGGTCTTCACAGTGTACTGTGGCTTGAATTCAGTGTTTGGGGGTCGTCTGACAAACTGTCTCCGCCCACTAGACCCAAAAAGAACAATCTTACTTTCATCAGTCCACAAAATGTTGCCCCATTTCTCTTTAGGCCAGTCAATGTGCTCTTTGGCAGATTGTAACCTCTTCAGCACACGTCTTTTTTCCAACAGTGGGACTTTGGGGGCTTCTTGCAGATAGCTTGGCTTCACATCGGCGTCTTCTAATTGTAACAGTCCTCACAGGGAACGTCACACCTTCTTTCATCTTCCTGGAGCTGATTGTTGGCTGAGTCCGCGCCATTTTGCCTATTCTTCTATCCATTCCAATGGTAGTTTTTCGCTTTCTTCCACGTCTTTCAGGTTTTGGTTGCCATTTTAAAGCATTTGTGATCATTTTAGCTGAGCAGCCGATCATTCTCTGCACTTCTTTATATGTTTTCCCCTCTCTCCAATCAACTTTTTAATCAAGGTACGCTGTTCTTCTGAACAATGTCTGGAACGACCCATTTTCCTCAGAATTTCAGAGAGAAATGCACTGTAACCAGCATGTACAACATTTGCTGCTTCCTTCCTTCAATAAGGGCAATAATTGCCACCTGTTTTTCAAAGAATGAATGACCTCACTAATAGAACTCCACACTATTATTTTGAACACGCCCCTTTCAATGAGTGATTCAATGACACAGAATCAGCAGCATGCATGTCATGACTGTTGGGTCTGTTGGATTTCTATTACTCTACTACACCTGCTAGGAAATTATTTGCCATGTAGAAATATCATTTCTACCAAAAACAGTGATTGATCCAGTTAGTGATGTCTGACTGCTATTATTTTGAACACAACTGTATATATATATGTGTGTGTATGTATGTTATGTATATAACACAAGGGGCAGCACAGTGGCTAAATGGTTAGCACTTCCGCCTGGCAGCACAAGGGTCGTTGGTTCGAATCCAACCACAGCACCACCTGCCTGCCTACCTCAGTTTGCATGTTTCTCCCTGTGCCTGTGTGAGTTTCCTCTGGATACTCCGGTTTCCTCCCACACTCCAAAGACATGCTGGTAGGTGAATTGGCTCCTGTGTAAATTGTCCCTAGTATGTGTATGTATGAATGTGAGTTAGGGACCTTAGATTGTACACCCCTTGAGGGTTAGGGACTGATGTGAATGTACAATATATATGTAAAGTGCTGCGTAAATTGACGGCGCTATATAAGTACCTGGAATAAATAAAATAAATGTATATGTAAGCTGTATGGATTTGAACACAGACATCTCTCCACTCCACTTGTGTCTGACATCCTTTGCTTTGCTTTGTGTTTGGACGCAGGCTGGCGTACTCCTGCAGTGCGGATGGCAATGTCTTTGCCTGGGATGTGAACACACTGAAGGTCAATCACAAGTTCCAGCTGAAAATATGACATCACCTCTATGAAGCTGTACAATGACCTGCTGATGTACTGTAAGTCCAAAAGCGCCCCCCCCCCCCCCCGTACCCCAACCCCTCCCCCTCATTTCACCCAATCCCCATATCCTATATACTGCTCATGTAACCTGTCTGCATTTGAATAGTAAACACAGACAATCCTGTCTTCAGAAACAGCCAAAGAGGCATTGACATGCACAAGATTGGCAGACCAAGTTATTATAGATAGTTGCTATTATAGTACTGCAAGAGCATATAATAATTTTATAGTCTAGTTTGTTTTCTTTAAAGTGTTACTAAACCCCCAGCAGTATAATCAGTCTGTAGATGCAGTAAAGCATGCTTGTTATACTCACTGTGGAAGCTAAGGGGTTAATCCTCTGCATTGTGTAAAAACGCTGTTAAGGCGGTTTCGGTGGAGTGTAGGGACGAAGCCGGACTGATCCTTTCTTCTCTGACCCTCCCCTTTCCAGTGTCCCCCTTTTATTTCCTGTTAAGACGTGTTGTGTGGAGTCACTCTGCACATGCTCAGTTTGGTGTGTATTGGGAGAGTGCATGTGGGCCAATCAGCACTGTCCAGACAGAGGCTTTGGACATCTTTTTATGTCCTTTTCCATCTTTATAAAGTTCCATTACCTTGTTACGCAGGACTTTTGACAGTTCTTTTCTGCTCCCCATGGCTCAGTATCTAGCCTAGTCAGTGCTTCCATGTAAGAGCTAACAAACTCATTGACTATTTATACACTGACACTGATTGCAATTTAAAAAGCCACAAATGTGGGACATTACCTCTAATTGGCATTGTAACCCATGTGTGTCACCTTGTGTGTCTGTACCAAGGCCGAACATTCCAGGGGGCGGAGACTTCTGATATGGGGGCAGAGACTTCTGATATGGGGGCGGAGATTTCTGATCCAGGCCATTTGGGTGATTTCTGTTATCATTATGATTTAAAAAGGAGCCAAACAACTCTGTGATAATAAATGGCTTCATATGATCATCATCCTTCAATAAAAGAGCATTTCTTGGCGTGATCAGTCATATTTTCAATATCAATGCCAAAAATTCACAATTTCTGCCAGGGGATGCAAACTTTTGAGCACAACTGTATGTTTTGGTTGTTTTTAAATAAAAAAAAAATCTGAGTGATGCTTCAGGGATTGGAGCATGGTTGGAACTGAATGGGGAACCTGGAGACGGAGGTCCTTTTTATGACTTTTGTTGCAGTGTCCGATGGTGGGAGAATGCTGATATGCAAATTGGCATCTAAACCGGATGGCCAGAATCGTTTTGTCTGTACCTTCTTCCCTCCCACTGCGGACACCAGGCCCTATAGGAAAACACTGTGGGCTGGTGTAAACAAGCACTTCCAGTTTTTATTTAAAAAGCAGCCACAGCCTGAGTAGAACAACCTGTCACATGCCAGCATGCTGTAAAGAAGTAACCTTGCTCTTTGTGTTGAAGCAGTGGTCTTTCTGCAGAGGTTTGATACGCCCCCCTACTAAGACCTATGGCAGCTCCATGGTGATTAAGCCTAATCGCTGACTTGGCAGGGGGTGAGTTGGATCTCTGCAGAGAGACCACTACTACGCAGAGAACAAGTGTGTTTTCCTGCAGCATGCTGGCAGGGGACAGGCTTTTCTACTTAGGATGTGGCTGAAGTGTATAAAAAAAGTGTTAGATTTTGCACACTTTTATTTGAATGCACCTGTCCTGTAATATACACTGCTCAAAAAAATTAAAGGAGGACTTTTCCATCAGAGTCTAGCACCAAGTGAATGAAACTCCTGGGATATGGATCTGGTCAGGTAAGCAGCAGAGGGGGTTGTTAATCAGTTTCAGCTGCTTTGGTGTTAACGAAATTAACAACAGGTTCATTAGATGGGCAACAATGAGACAACCCCCAAAACAGGAATGGTTTTATAGGTGGAGGCCACTGACATTTTTTCCCTACTCTTTTCTTGATTTTTTTCACTAGTTTTGCATTTGGCTAGGGTCAGTGTCACTACTGGTAGCATGAGGTGATACATGGACCCTACAGAGGTTGCACAGGCAGTCCAGCTCCTCCAGGATGGCACATCAATAAATGCCATTGCCAGAAGGTTTGCTGTGTCTCCCAGCACAGTCTCAAGAGCATGGAGGAGATTCCAGGAGACAGTTACTCTAGGAGAGCTGGACAGGGCCATAGAAGGTCCTTAACCTATCACAGGACTGGTATCTGCTCCTTTGTGCAAAGCGGAACAGGATGAGCACTGCCAGAGCCATACAAAATGACCTCCAGCAGGCCACTGGTGGGAATGTCTCTGACCAAACAATCAGAAACAGACTTCATGAGGGTGGCCTGAGAGCCAATGTCCTCTAGTGGGCCCTGTGCTCACTGCCCAGCACGATAGAGCTCGATTGGCATTTTCCATTGAACACCGGAATTGGCAGGTCCACCACTGGCGCCCTGTGCTTTTCACAGATGAGAGCAGGTTCACCCTGAGCACATGTGACAGACATGAAAGGGTCTGGAGAAGCCGTGGAGAACGTTCTGCTGCCTGTAACATCGTTCAGCATGACCGTTTTGGTGGGGGTCAGTGATGGTCTGGGGAGGCATATCCATGGAGGGACGCACAGACCTCTACAGGATAGACAATGGCCCCTGACTGCCATTAGGTATCAGGATGAAATCCTTGGATCCATTGTCAGACCCTACACTGGTGTAGTGGGTCCTGGGTTCCTCCTGGTGCACAACAATGCCCGGCCTCATGTGGGGAGAGTATGCAGGCAGTTCCTGGAGGATGAAGGAATTGATACCTTTGAATGGCCCCCATGCTAGCCTGACCTAAATCCAATAGAACACCTTTGGGATATCATATTTCGGTCCATCCAACGACTGTCAGGTTGCACCTCAGACTGTCCAGGAGCTCAGTGATGCCCTGGTCCAGATCTGGGAGGAAATCCCCCAGAACACCATCCATGGTCTCATTAGGAGCCTCCCCCGACGTTGTCAGGCATGCATACAAGCACGTGGGGGCCATACGAACTACTGAGGACCATTCTGAGTTGCTGCAATGACATTCCAGCCAAATGGACTCGCCTGCTGCATCATTTTTTCACTTTGATTTTCGGGGTGTCTTTGAATTCAGTCCTCTAATGGAAATGAAAATGATCGACCTACAATCCATGGGGCATCCTTACATTCCTATCGCATTACCCGGTCCATATCAGTATAGAGATCCTGCAGATGTTTCCCTATTGATATCTGATGGGTTTTCAAAGTCTTCCTTTCATTTTTTGAGCTGTGTATTTAGCCAACTTAAACCTAAGATCACTTGATTTGGGCCTTGTGCACACAGGCATGTGACGCCCTATACAGCATAAAACTGGGTATATTTCTGTGCCCTGGAAGCCTAGGTCCTGTGCCCAGCTGCCCCATAGACATGAATGGTTGTACATGGCTGCATGCCGGTAAATGTTGGTACTCACAAAAACATGCGCACCCCGTACGGGTATATTCCCTGAATGTGGACTCTCAGGATTCAGATCTTGCCATTTGCTGTACCTGAGCTTCCCTTCTGCAGGAATACTCCTTGTTCTACGCTGTGTAGTCATTATGGACCTATAGAGCCTGCAACACACATCCTGGTCACTACAAGCCACAACTACTTCTAGAGTTTTCATAAAGCCCGGTATTAATCTCTTGTTTCCGCCATTCTGAAGGTACCAAAGATTTGATCATTGTAACAAGGAGAAATGGGCAGCTGTGCAAGAAGATGGAGATCACAGAGAACATCCGTAAGAACAGCCCAGCGCTTTCCTCCATCCAGCTCTTCTCGGAGGTACGGAGTAGTGTGCCAGGCGGCAAACCATTGCGCAGTGTGTTGATTGGCTGGTGCTGACGGCTTTTCTTGCTCTGTTTTAGAAGTGCCAGTTGTGGCGGCGGCGAGTAAAAGGGCCGGTGAGATCTGCGTGTTTGACACAAAAGATTTCTCCAAACCCCCGCACAGGATTGTACTGCAGGACTGTTGGCTGGTCACGTGTTTGCTGAAGGTCAAGCAGCAGGTAAGAGGCCATCGGGATCGTCCAGCTTTTTTGGGGGTGGGAATTATTTTCAAGAGGATCACAACATGAGAGAGTGAACAATCAAAAAGAAGCTGTTATGAATAGGGGATCATGGGGCCCCTGGGCAATAGGGGATCATGGGCCCCTGTGTCCTTGCCCAAACTCAAAAAAGCCTATGAAAAAGGTACCAGGGGCATCTCATGGGGCCCCCTACTGACCCCGGGTCCTCGGGCAGTGCCTGAGTTTCCAAATGGTCAGTCCGCCCCTGATCCAAACATATCTCATATTAGTCTGAATTTGGTGCAATTGAGTGACATTTGAGCACTATTGTATAATTGTACATAGCCTTTTTTGTTTTTTCAGGCCTGTCCAGCAGGGGGTGCTGTAGGCTAATGTTGACGCTTTGTGGTTTCACATGATGTTAAATGCGCTCTGAATTTCTCAAACATGGACAGTCGAATGTGTTAGGCTGTGTTTAATGGCCCGTATTTCTGAAGGCTTCTGGAAGAAAGGGACTTAAAGTTCCTTCAAAGATTGTTTCTGCCCTATATCTGCTTCTGGTATTGCCTGAGCACCCTTTGCTTGACTGCCAGTGCCACCGAGTCCCCTCTTCTGTCTTCATATGCCTGGTGGAATCTTTAAAGGAAGCGGCCCAGACAATTTTTTGGCCCCATCTCATGAGGATGCCAGGAGCTTCCCAAACCATTCTGCACGATTTTGCATCATTGTATGCTCTTATTACACACTTTGATGGAGCCAGATCTACGTTGACTTCCTTACGGGTTTGCGACTTCAGAAATTTTGAATTTTCATAGGATTGTGAATTTTTGAACAGTTTGGGTGAACCACTGATTGAACTTTTCAGAGGTTCACTCACTTCTAGTCACCAGGACTTTTATGGGAGATGACAGGCTCACTCGAGGCACAGGCTGGTCTTCACCAGAGCTCCCCATGGCGGAGATGGACCAGAAGTCCTAGTGATCCTAGTTTTGTTTGCTGCAAGCTGTCAACAGTTGTGGCCCTCAGGATTGCCCAACTAGGGGAGAGCTGGAAAAGAATGGTTATGGTGTGGAGACTATGCAAAATGCTTGGCATAAGAGTAGTCAGGTCCCAGCAGAAGTCATTGGCAGGCGAGAGAGTAGTCAGGTCTAGGATGAGGTTGTGGGCAAGCAAGAGAGTAGTCTGGTCAATCTGGGTCAGGAACAAGCACAAAGGATAGCTAGCGATAGGACACAGCACCGAACATTTCAAAGGTGAAGTTTACAACCTCTTGGAGGATACACCCAGCATTATTTTAGGGAACTTTTTGAAGAATTCCTGGCAGGGATTTTGCAAGGGAGTCCTAGTAGGATTCGGCAAATAACCTTGGGAGTCTTAGCAGGAATTCTACCTGTACCATTTGAAGTCCTGCCAGTGATTCTGTAAATACCATTGGGAGTCCTGGCAGGATTTTGCTGGTACAATTGGGAGTCCTGGCAGGATTCTGCGAGTACCATTGGAAGGCCTGGCAGGATTCTGCAAGCAACATTGAAAGTCCTGGTAGGATTCTGCAAGCACCATTGGAAGGCCTGGCAGGATTCTGCAAGCACCATTGGAAGTCTTGGCAGGATTCTGCAAGCACCATTGGAATTCCTGGCAGGATTCTGCAAGCACCATTGGAAGTCCTGGCAGGATTCTGCGAGTACCATTGGAAATCCTGGCAGGATTCTGCAAGCACCATTGGAAGTCCTGCAGGATTCTGCAAGCACCATTGGAAGTCCTGGCAGGATTCTGCAAGCACCATTGGAAGTCCTGGCAGGATTCTGCAAGCACCATTGGAAGTCCTGGCAGGATTCTGCAAGCACCATTGGAAGTCCTGGCAGGATTCTGCAAGCACCATTGGAAGTCCTGGCAGGATTCTGCAAGCACCATTGGACGTCCTGGCAGGATTCTGCAAGCACCATTGGAAGTCCTGGCAGGATTCTGCAAGCACCATTGGAAGTCCTGGCAGGATTCTGCAAGCACCATTGGAAGTCCTGGCAGGATTCTGCAAGCACCATTGGAAGTCCTGGCAGGATTCTGCAAGCACCATTGGAAGTCCTGGCAGGATTCTGCAAGCACCATTGGAAGTCCTGGCAGGATTCTGCAAGCACCATTGGAAGTCCTGGCAGGATTCTGCAAGCACCATTGGAAGTCCTGGCAGGATTCTGCAAGCACCATTGGAAGTCCTGGCAGGATTCTGCAAGCACCATTGGAAGTCCTGCTAGGGATTCTGCGATTACCATTGGTAATTCCTGGCAGGGATTCTGTGTGTACTATTGGAACTCCTGGCAGGATTCTGCAAGCACCATTGGAAGTGCTAGCAGGAATCTTAGAGTACCATTGGAAGTCTTGACAGGGATTCTGCTAGTACCATGGAAAGTCCTGACAAAGGATTCTACAGGCACCATTGGAAGTCCTGGCTGGAATTCTGCAATTACCATTGTTATTCCTGGCAGGAATTCTGCAAGTACTTTTGGACATTCTGCCAGGGATTTTGAAAGTACCATTGAAAGTCCTGACAGGGATTTTTAGAGTACCATTGAAAGTTTTGGCGGCAATTCTGCAATTACAATTGGTATTTCCTGGCAGGGATTCTGAGAGTACCATTGGAAGTCCTGGCAGGGATTCTGGGAGCACTAGTGGAAATCATGACAAGGATTCTGGGAATACCATTAGAAGTGCTGGCAGGATTCTGCGAGTACCATTTGGAGGTTTTGACAGAATTCTTTTAGTACCATTGGAAGTCCTGGCAGAATTCTGGGGGTACCATCAAAAGTCCTGGCAGGGGTTCTTTGAGTAGGAGTTCTTGAAGTCCTGGCAGTAACAAGGACAAAAAGGAACAGTTGGCAAAACAGTTGTATTCCAAAATAAGAGTTTCTGTTTGTCCCCCTATTGGAACATTCCTCTATCACTTCCTGCTCTTTGACACTGAGAAGGAAGTGAGGACTGCCAGTGGGGACACTGGCAGTAGTATATATCTGACACACATTCCTCCCCTACCCCACTGTTTGCTGTTTTGATATTTTTGGGGTTTGTTCACCTGTGTTTATTCTTCTTAGATCTGGGTTGGCAGCCAGGGAATCTCTCAGGGTAAGACCAAAGGGAAGATCTACGTCATCGACACGGAGAAGAAGAGTGTGGAGAAGGAACTGGTGGCACATACAGATATAGTGAAATCTCTGTGCTCTGCAGAGGACCGCTATGTGCTAAGCGGCTCCGGAGAGGAGGACGGCAAAGTGGCCATATGGAAAGTGGAGTGAGCCAATGGAGATTGAAGCCTTCCTTCGAGTACACAGTCTGTAGATGTCAGAGTACAATGGAGTCATATGATCGGTGGTTGCCGACAAGCAGGCGTCATCGGATTTAAGTCCTGGAATTGGGATTCAGGACTTCAGATATTGGCTCAGTATTGGAGAACAGTCTTATACTTCGAAAAGGGAATACGAAGATCTTCTTATTTTATTAAAGATGCGAGGAGAATTCTGGATGTCCAAATGATGGAATTTCCAAGTGTTGTACCCAATGGAGCATGACTGCAGAGCCTGCTATTCCTGTAAATCTTGGTATCTCACACTTTGTAGGCCAAAGTACTATTTATTAAAGACAGACTTCTCTCATTCCACTTTTCTACATAGTCAACTGCCAATTTCTTGCAGTTGGACAAAGTGTGGATCTGGGTGCAGTTTACCTGCAGTAGGGCTTCTTTAAACACTCCTAAATTTGTCATTTGCCAGACATAAGGTGTGCTCACCTGAACTGCCTTTCATTGGAGAAGAGAATTCCCTCCTAAATGAACTCTTAGCAGGAAGAAGTCTGATCCTTTGTTTTATTTTTCATTAGTATTTGTGTAAAGACTTTACATATAATATATTTTTAGTTATAGTTATAAAATACACACTAAACTGGGGCAGATTTGTAAAAAAACCAAAAACCTTCCATCGTGGTAATGGATGGATCTTTGTTTTGTTGCTTATTGAGGTCACTAAACCAGCAAGGAAAATGCATTGTTCGAGTTTCATTGCCTCTGTAGAACTTGTTCAGGAAATGTTTGAAATATGTTAATTCAACAATATTTTTTTTTAACCCATTCCAGCTAATAGGAGCTGGCCCTTTAAGATTTAACACGGGCTTCCCGATCACCTGATCACTGTGATTGGCTGTTACAATGATCACGTGATCGGGAGTGCGCTCCCAGCACACAACAGGAATTGCAGTTGTATTCATGTATGTGGCAGCGTGGCGTTAAAGCCCACCACCGAACTGCTATATATATATATATATATATATATATATATATATATATATATATATATGGTTAACCCAGATTTAAGAAGAAAAAGATGAACTCCAGGCAGAAATAAATATACGGATAAAAAAAATTAAATATTTAATAATTAAAAAAATAAATAAATAAATAAATATATATATATATATATATATATATATATATATATATATATATATATATACACAGATGAAATACGTATTTGGGAGATTTTTATTGCCTGCCTAGGACTTATATTTCTGGTCATCCAGTCCTTCGGTTTACACAGCTCTGCCACACAACACAGCCCTGATGGCAGGGCAGGGGACCTGATTTTCTCTACTGCAGTTAAAGCGAAGTTCCACATGAAAAAAAAAATAAATAAATAAAAGTCAGCAGCTACAAACACTGTAGCTGCTGACTTAAAATACAGCCACTTACCTGTCCCTCGGTCCAGCGGTGTCCTCAGCATGGCTGGTTTCACCTGCCGTCTTCTTTCCCTGGCGCCGACATCTTCAGTGTGGGCACTTAGCTGTGACAGCTTGCGTCTTCACAGCCGGGTGCCCACTGCGCATGTGCAATTAGCGTTGCGCTTTG